TTTTGGTTTTAAATCATGAGAGGAAAGTGATGTTGACTGCATGGCAAGTATTTTTTTTTTATCAAAGTAGAAAAAGTTTGATCTGAAGTAATCTTATCTCACTAAAAAAATACATTAAATCTTTTTTGTGTAAGAACAAGAGGCATTATAAAAGTACTACGCTCCTTCTTTCCCTTATAACGATCATTTGCGTTCCCTTAGCCTTAAAAGAATTAATAATCATAAGCTATTAAAGTAATTCCACGGAGGATTAACCGAATTTATAAACAGGAAGGGAAAAGCGAAAGTAGTAAAATGTCGCATTTGAGCAAGTGGCCTATTCTTGAACAAAGCCGAAAAATTTTCAGGGGATTCAGGGGGAGGGGGGAGAAGGAAAAGGCGGAAAAGGGAGACATTGCTTTATCCTCTGAAATGCCCTGTCCGCTAACCCCTAAGGAAGACCTTATACTCAAGCTAGACCAGGCTATGCCTTTGCTCACTTTTCGTAATCTATAATGTTTCCACTTTGAATTTAACATATTGATTATACTCTACTGTGCTCTCACTTTACATTTAGACAAAGATGAATTTCTTTGACTAGTTATTGCAGTTGTAAGTTACTCTCATTACTAAGAATGAAAACCAAGTGGGAACCATTTGCAACATATGCATAGTCATCACCGAATTTGCGAGGTTAAGACATCGGCAAATGCTTTGGCTACGAGGGGGTTGAAAATAATCTTGCCTTTAAGGGTCTGTTGTCACCTGCAGGGCCGAGTTGTTCAAAGCTGCAGCTGGGTTAAGATAACCCAGGGTTAGTGCGAGATTTGAATTCAGATTTGAGAGCTCAAAAAGCATTTCAGTTTTAATTCTTTTTGTCTACAAGTTGATAATTGGAAGCTCTAAAAACAACAGAGAAAATTACCCGAGAAAATGCTTTTGAACGCCAGAAAAAGAAACCCGGGTTAAGCGCTCATCGGCCTTCGAACAACTGGGCCCTGGGTAATATTATGATAACAATACTGACAATCCTTCCTGTGTGACAGGCACAAAAAAGAAGGAGGAGGGGTTGAACAGCTAAATCCCTTCCTTTTCCCATTCCTCCACCACCCCTTCAATACACCGAAATTATGGCTGTAGGTGAGTAAATAACTAAGGTTAACTTTAAACACTGAACTTGCTTCTTTCCACCGTGATGGGGCGCTCGTCGAGCTTCTAAAGAGTGCCCTGTACCCTGGATAGAATATACCTAAGGGTACAGTTAATTGCTGTGTCACGTGGGTAGAACATACCCAAGCATATACTGTATGTTATGCAGTAATTCCCTCTGCTGGTGTCGGTAAAAGAATTTAATTCCTGGTATGGTTAATTCTGCTTTAACTAAGTAATGTCACTTTCAGTGTTTTTAAAATTAGGTAAAATAGAGTTAGAAGATTAGTTTATCCTCATTAAGTTAAGATATTGTGTACTCAAGAAGTAAAATCTTCCAGAAAAACAATCATCTGTAAATACTCGAGTAAGCACCCAAAGGGGGCACTTAATTCGGCTCCAAAAGGATATTTTTTTTTCAAGTAAACGCAATCTAACGTCAATCGAAAACGGTTAACTAGAACGCAAGGAAGAAACAATCTATGTACATGTACCGTCGTTCCCAAAGTCATGTTTTCTCTAAAGTGCTCCATGTTCTGGTAATGAAATTACTCTGTTGTACCTCTACACAGTATATTCAGTTATTTTTCCTTTCTTAGGGAAGGAATGCACGGGGGCGCTTACCCCATTTTTCAGTCTCAACGGGGTGGAGGGAAGGCGGTAATTCGAAGGGTGGGTTGTTTTAAGGGTGCAGCTAATTATAATTAGAATTTAAGTTGACAGTAAGACTGGTGTACTAGGAGTAAAATATAGTTCCATCAGTATTCTTTGCTTTAGGAGTGTAGAGAAGCTTAATATTCTAAGGTGGAGAAAGCAGAAAAAATTAACAACTTGATAACGAATTTGGTTTCGTCGAGCGAAATAATGTGTTTACGAGAATGACAAACGGAAAAATTGCCTGAGTTGTACTCTGTTAAGTTGTAGGGATGGAAAGTTGTTTCGAAGGATTATCAACGCACTCTGCCCTAATTAATCCAAACCGTTATTTGAGAAGGCCCTTCTTGCAGCAAAAATATATATGTTCATCCTGTTTTGTAAATATTGCATTGGCGGCGCTCATGCGCGGTAGAACAGTAAATAATTTTTATTTCTTTGACAGTTAGAGCGGTAAATGTCAATTGAAATCGCACCTTTCCAATAGGTATTGTAGTACTGTATGAAATTTGTACATTCTATAAGAAGTACGGCTTTGCTATTTTTGTCTCTTTAGGTGGTGTGGCTTATTATTGAGAGCTAAATAAATGGTTTTTGAGATGGGCGATCTCCTGTAGTTAACAATTCTTGGCAGGTAAATTAAAACTGCGCGCTCAGAGTGATTATCCAACATTAATGGCTTGCTTTGCTGAATTTTTTTCTGCACTCACATTATACGCGGTTTTTTCCAACGTATAGGATGTGTCTTATAACAAAGATGTGTAAATGATTTGTTTTCAATTCACGCACCTAGCGTATTATTAATTCAAAGGTTTGCACGAAATTTTGAAATCTGTATAATTCATCACTGCGCGTCCAGTCGTTGACTTTGATGATTTCATAGAGCGTTTAATAGTAACATGTAATCATCTGTCAGTATGATCAGTCATGCTATCTGCCTAGCTCCCACAGCTAAGAAACAAGTATGTAGTTAATAAACCTCAACGATGATTCCATCTACACTAAGCCTTATTTGGGAAACATTCTTGAGCTACCACAAGCTCGTCATGGTTCGAGCCTTTAAAGCGCCTAGCGGCATTTCTTGGAAATCCCAAGAAGCTATAAATATACAAGACCAACGTTACGTTAGCTGTTTGAGGCAGTTAATTGCTTCAGAATTATAGTAAGACTTATTTCCTTTCACAGAACTTTCATCAGAGGACAGGTGGATATTCATGGCTTGTTTTCATTAACAATAGCTATGTCAAGAACCAATAGAAAACAGTCGTTAAGTAAAATTCAGCGCACCCGCCTGTCATTACATTGTCTAAAACGGCTCGGGAACAAAGCTAGCCAATTTAATTCCTTGTCTTCCCTTCTTCGGATTAATTTCTCACTTTTTGTTTCAGCATTAAGTAGCACGTCCAAATTGGCTTAACACCCAATTATTGGCTATTTTTTGTAGGATATTGACTTTCTTCCCAACGTATCGGTGCGTTTTACTGTAATATCAGCTCTCAAGAACCTTGTAGGGTGTATCACGTTCGATAATTTCAACGCGAAAGGTTTTTCATAACAAAGTGAAAGCAAGGAAGGTATGCCTATAATCTGAGTAAGTTAACTGGTAACGCCTGAGACGAAGTTTTTAATGTGACATATGTCGAAGTGCAGCAGCGATGTGAACCAGGTAAATGTCAAACTTTTCCTACGGAGTTATGAGCTACTTTGCTTAGGCAATTTCTTCACATAAAACTGAATTGGAGCACCCCTTTCATTGGAACTGGAAACAGTCTTCAAAGTATACACTGAAAGATATATCTACTTATCCACTGTCGACCTGCTATGACTGAACATGAAAATATCAAAGCTTATCAGCTTGAACTGGCTTGCTGCAAATTAACAAATTTGAACTGTGATATCTATGCGTCATCTAGGCAGTAATATAATGTCAGTGTTTATATAAAAAAAAAGAACCCCGGTAACTCGAACTCTGAAGGGAAACGAAAAACAGTTCGAGTAAGCGGGGAATTCAAGTTATCGGGGTAAATTTCAGTGAAATTTTGATCAAGGAAAGGGAAATTTAGTTCGAGTTAGTGGGGAATTCGGGTTATCCGAGTTCGAGTTATCGAAGGAGTTTCTACTGTATGTTATTGTATATATTGACACTGATAGGATGTCAGTTTGAGAACTGACGTACGTAATTGTTTCAAGAAAAAAAAGTAATTAGAGCATTGGCGTAATCAACTGGTCTGTGAAAGTTTACATGAGTTTGGGTGTTAAGTGGTGGGTGCTTATTCAACCACAGTCGTCTGTTATTCAAGGTGACAGAAATGGTGTCGGAGAGCATGATCCCATCTGGACTTGTGATAACGTTTGTGACCTACCTTTTTTACTAAAATGCGAGCCGGATGTGAAGAAAAAATACTCATCTTTTACCTGCCATTGCATTTATTAAAATCCTAAGTGTTTACTGGCAGGTGGTTGACTGAATTATGATAATACTCTCATCATTACAGTCTCTCATACAAAGAAAGGATTGCTTTGTTTCTAAATGCGCACGCTTGGGAGGTTGAGAAGCTGTGACAGCGAATTAAACATAATAATGTCATGAGGCTTCATTTTATTTTAAACTTGAACGTTTGGGTGTTACCTGTTAAACTTCTCTTAAATTTCAGAAGCAAGGACTCTCCATATGCACATCTCCCATAACAGACCTTCTTTGTCCCCCACCAACCAAAAAAATTTTACTTAGCATCGGTTTCAATTTCTCTTGAGACAGTTGTTACACCTAGAGAAAATGAAAAAGAAAGGTTATGCAAAACTTTTCGGAGAGGTGGGCGGGGGCAAACAGGCCGGGTGTATTGTGTGAGATGCGCAAATAGCGAATAAGGGTAAATAGCCCATTTTCGAGTTGGTTTTAAGCCTCTTTATCAAAACGAGGTTCTTAATAACAAAAGCGCGTAGGATCGCCACGAGTCTATTACGCCGCTAAATGTAACAAAAACGCAGAATGTAACAACTACTTGGACGCAAAGTATAACATTAACGCAAAATGTAACAATTTTTAACCCAAAATGAAACATTTTTTAACACCAAATGTTAAGATTTTGACGCACCTAGGTCTGAAGATAATCGTAATTAGCTGTTAGTAGCTATATGCAATCCCTCGAGTTTTCAAATTCACATAATTTTAAAAACATACTATTTGTCCTTTCAGCTAAACGCCCCTTGCTCTGAAGATGAAGTTGCGCACGATGTCTTCAATGATCCTCATTCTCATAGGAATAGTACTCTGGAAACCGTTTTTTACGACAGCTGCTGCTTCTGACCAAGCTTGTCCAACTTCCTTACCGATCAGGATATCGGCCTTGAACTTTCCTCCTCTTGTCGAGCCATCTCAAGGTAACACAGCAGCACCAAAAGGTGTACTTGGAGAATTTATGATCGATATTATCAAGAAGTGTTTTAGAGATTGTAAATTCACCCTAAGGTCCGTCCAAACGACCGTGTTTAACACAACTTGGAGTTTTTTGAAGTCAATACAAGACGGTGAAGCGGAAATCGCATTTCCTATAACACGACCAATGAAGATGTGGCTGTCTGATGACGACTACATTGGGCAAGAGATGTCATTTCAAGAATTCTTCGCCTCCCCTGGGTACTCGCTTGTAATGGACGTGGAGTATATCAACAAAAAAGCCAACGATATCATCGTTCAGTCCCTAATGGAAAACACTTGGCCAATTATTGTCTTTACTCTTCTTATAGCTGGAATCTCAGGAATAATCGTCTGGATTCTAGTAAGATTGAAATCTCATTGTCCTTATCCATATCTATTTTATTTTCATGAGGCTGCATACACAATGCCAATTCTTTCCAGTGTCGTCTCTGCTGACAAACCATGCGTGGGCTCCTTTGTATACCTCATTGTCTTTTTTTTGAAGCCTCATTACCAAAATATTGAATAAACAAGCTCCCTACACGTGTAATGCACCTAGTTATTGTAAGTCGTAAGGCGAAGTAAGCGCGCTATATACCTCGTTCTTTGCGGAGTCTTTTATTTACACTTACTTACGAGATTTCTTAGTCTTTCTCGCTAATGAAATGTGTTTCAGGAGTCGGTTCGCCTTCTGTTTTCAGCCCTTTCGACAATCATGGACAATTACTTGTTATCTAGACACAAATCATAAACAATATGGTCATTTTTGCAAGAAAGGAGATCCCTTTAAAAAACCCTCCTAGAAAATCGACAACAAGTATTAAAAAAATAAAATGATGCAATTTTATGCATTTTTTTCAACATACACCTTTGGAATTTATGACGTTTTCAGGAAACATACTTCAATGAAGAGGAATTCCCTCGTTCGTTTACTAAAGGCGCCTATGAAGGCTTTTGGTGGGCTTTTGTTTCCATGACAACAGTGGGGTACGTAAAATGATGCTCCTCTGTTACTAATGGATAGAGATTTATCCAGTGTATAGCGTTATCCACCTTTTGAACAATTGAGGCTTCTATGTCCGTTTTGATACTAAAGTCGTTATCCCTGGACGAACTTAGGCAAACATTTTGCCGCTCGTGTGGTTATGCAACGACTCCCTACGACAGGTAGTTCGTCTGAATGCACAATGCATCTGATCTTGTACCTTTGTTTATACTCGAGATTCATAACCAGACGAGCTACAAAATGTTTGCCCAAGTATGTCCAGACGAATAGAGAGTCTTAAGTTTAAAAACAGCCAATAAGTGGCAGCTTCTTAAGACGTTTTTTTTTGTTAATTTAAGGGCACTTAGTTGAAATTGTGGTCTGAGCACATTCCGGTTTAAGTTAAATGCCAATGTAGGTAGTATAAATTAACATCGGGTACAAGTACCAAATCGAGTACGATTACGACGTTAGAGCATCCCCCGAACTATAACTCTTTCCTGTTGCTGACTAGCACGTTAATAAACGTTGGGGATCAGATTGTTGGAAGTAATTATAGGAAGCACACGAATTTGGTTTGAAAACTGTACCCCTAAGGTCATAATAAGGTCCCTAATTACATTTGGTGAGTGGGCAATTCAGAAAGCCAAAGGCCTGCAGTGCGAAGAGATCCTCTCTTAATACTGATAAGACAAATTAACCAGAGGTCATTAATTTCCCCGCTTGAATTGTTAAAGCAGCAAAATTGCAACTTTTAATGGTACGAAAATGGAGCTTAAGCAACGAGGTTTAAACCCCATTTACACGCGCTAAAAAAATCGGCACGGCACGCCAAATGTTTGGCACCGTGCTGACAATTTTAGGGCGCGGTACTCCCAATTTTCGACGTGTAAACGTATCGGTCCCAAATGTAATATGGCACCAGTGCTCAAAATTTTAGGGGTGCCGAGACTACCTCCCGGAGGTAGTCTCGGCACGGGTAAACGAGGCACGGCGCAAAAATTTGGCGTGCCGTGTCGATTTTTTTAGCGCGCGTAAATGGGGTTTTATGTTAGCAAATCAACAACACTGCAAGTGCATCAGGCTTTACAGTACATTTCTTTGTCGTCGATGTACGAATTCGACGAGCAACTGCCCAATTTCACGTTTTCTGGCGGACGAACTCACTTTTTAGGAGACCGTTTAGCCACCATCGTCGTCGTCGTTGCTAAATCTCGCTAATGTGTTTGGTGTTCCAACATTTGTTTTCATGTTAGGTATGGTGACAAAACTCCCAAATTCATTTTTGGTCGTTTGTTTGGCATCGCTTGGATTTTGATTGGATTGGTTGTCATAGCAGTGTTCACAGCGACTGCTACAAGTTCACTCAGCGTCTCCCCAAGCGACTTGGCAGTGCTTGAAGGAACAACCGTAAGAAAAACTCTAAAAATCTCACTGTATTTACTCGGATAAGCACCGCATCTGGGAGAAAAAAGCTAAGACATCGCGGCCCTGATATAATCAAAATCAAAAGACCTTAATTCTGTTTAATGGTTTAATTCGGACAATACAAATGCCGTATAAGACCTTTGTTAAAACAGTTCTTTGAATGGCTGGGCAACATTGTTCTTTACATACAGAGAACAACGTTTGTTCAAAACCGTAACTAACAAGTCATAGATATTAATTAACACGGAAGTGTAACGCCGCTTATTGCCTTGAAAAGTATGTTCTTCAATCTACTTCCTTGCATTTGCCTTATTAGGTCGGAGTATTGAATGATACATCAGCAGGGTTAGAGGCAAAACAAAGAGGCGCGATAGTAAAAAGTAAGTACTGTTTTATAACCTCTTGGCAACCTATCCCAAGATGGATAAATCGAATAGTAACCCTTAAAAACTAACACTAAAACTAGTAATAACCAAAGGTTACGGAGTGCGGGCGACAACGATCGAAGGTCAAAACGCTTTTGCTCCATCGCTGTGCTTTGCGTAAGTTTCACGTGACAGAGAGTCAAAACACGCGTGATCAGATTACGAGTGATAGAAGGTCCAAAATGCGCGTCATGAAATTGCGTTCAGTGCATTCCATTCATTGTTAGTGGAAGTCTAAATGAATGCTGGCTACATACATGCGACGCATGCGTAATAACAACCTGAAGATTAGGATTGCGGGCTCTTCTTGTCGCCCGCAATTACGGAGAGGAAGAGTGAACAGATAAAATAAATTACTGAAAAACAAAAGAATTTAAATGGACATAAGAAAGGTTAAAAATTCCACCTGGCCGGGAGCCGTATTCAAAAGTTGCAGTACCGTTAATTAAATTAGTCCAAGGGGCTTGCAACCGGTTCCTCCGGATTGCATGTCTAGAGCTCCGACCGCCGGTTCATGCTGTACTGTTTGTTTATTTGTTTGCTTGCTTAGCCGCAAATGTTCACTTTGAACCGGATCTTTTCACTTGAAACTAGTAAAGGAATGCGAAAACATTATCTCAGTGGGATAATTTGTTGTTGTAATGATCTGGTGAATGACTTTACCATGGCGTCGAAGCCATATATGAGTTGAGTTTGTTGTTGGTTCTCTCCCTTTCTTCTAGAGATTTTTCGCTGGGTACTCCGGTTTTCCCAACATAACGACAACATAACGAATATGCTTGAAATAAATATCCCGATGTATATAGCGCTTACGCAATCCAAAAATCAAGGTATAAGAGATTTGTAACAAAGCTTTGTTGTATTTTTAGTCCTGAATACGATCAATGGATCGCACCCTTGTTTACCAATCCATTTTCTTACAGGGTTCCCATCAGCTGAGCTTCTGTTCAGAGGGCTCGAGTCAAATATTATAGATGGCATATTCATGGACAAATTCAAAGCTGGCCACTACCTAGACTCAAGAAATAAGCCTAACCTCAAAGTTTTTCTGTCTGTTGATACGAGCGTAGCGGTGAAATATGACCTTGCTGTAATGGGCGTTTCAGCGAACAACTCATGCTTTAAATCTGCCATCATGAAACGTGATGTGGATGAATTGCTCCTACAGTATTTGAAGCCGGTAGCGGTAAGGAATAAATCTGATTTGATAAGAACTGAAGAAGGCTATGCTAATACCGTTATAACTTAAGTCTTCCCGGCTGTAGGCCCATTCGCCTGCAAACAAAAAATACATCCGATTATGGCCCTTAAAGACCGGTATTTGTTTTTTTTTTCTTTCTAGAGAACACTGAGCCCTTTGTTGTTATTTCATCTCACGATGCATGGATACTTCTGCTTGTCAATTCCGTGGGAACTCCTTTTTTATGTAAACGCTTTCTATTGTTATAATAAATTTGTTTAGATGCTATGACCGTAATTAGCTATTACCGTAACCTTCAGCTTATAAGCACTGGGGTTTTAGGGGAGGGGGGGGGGGTTAAGCTTCAAAACGTCACAATAAACCGAATTCTCAGGAGGGTGGGCCTACAATCGGAGCTAGAAGGGCGTTTATATCCGTAAGGGTTATATTCCAATCTTTAAACCTTCCCACACTGGCTTTGCTTCCTGGATTTTGGTTCAGTAAAAACAAGGGAATTAGGAAACAGCAGGGGTTCATATTTGCCTCTGATTAGTTTGTAATTACGGATTGTCAATCAAGTCCTAACCATACCTATTCATGACCATTTAAGGCTTTTAACCAGGACAGTGACTCGACGAGTATCTTCTCTGGTGCATCAAAATCCACCCAACGTTTCCTATTGATCACAATGGGAGTTTTCTTGGGCCTCGTAATGTTGGGGATTATTGGTGAAGTTGTGCACAAAACAATGTGGAAAGCAAACAAAAGGGTTGAGAACAGTGAAGGTTAGTAGTAAAGGGCGTATGTTTCACTCCTTTTTATCTACTGGAGTTTGATGGAAACCGTTGAGTATTGCCGTATCAGCCAGTTGCAGTGACCTGGATCAGCATAAATAGTTTGTGTAGGAAATATACAAAACTTCAAAGCGATAAAGAAGTAAACAAACTCTAATTAATTGTGGTTAACATTAAAACAAAAATGTTTAAAAAAATTGGCGCGATAATTCGTTTTTTTTGATAACTTTCTCTCCTTGACGGTCCTTTCCATCCAATAGGACTGAATTAAACTCCGCATTTGCGTTGCATTTCGCAGCCGAATTAACAATATCCTGGGTAGCTTATTTTTCGTGTGAGTGTAATGACTATTTCTCTTGTAGATGGGGTTGAATTGAAGGATGTCAAGGTTCAGTCAAACTCCAGCAAAGGCAACCTTAAAGATATTGAGGACAAACTGGGACAGTTGGTTTGTGAAGTCAGGAAATTACAAGAACAACTTGTTAATATTTCATCTCAAGCAAATGGGACTTTCGCACAGAGCACAACTCACATGTAGGGCTTAGCAGTGAAAATAGACGCCATATTATAAGCTGATTCGGTTGCAAGGCTGAGGACCTAGTTGCAAAGGTTTTTTGTGGTGGAGTGAGAGTTGGATTCGCCAGGGAAGAGGCATGGAACTTTGAATAGACGAAGCATTGTGATGACTTCTGCCTCATCATCGGCACGTGATTACTATTCCCTTGTCGAGTTTTCGGTCAAAATCTGATCAGTTATTCCACTTGAAACTGGAAATACTTTTATCGCTGAACCACGTAAGGCTAGGGAGGGTGCTCCGTAAAATGTTAGGGATGCGAGTTATACGTATACTTTCTTCAAAAATAGAATGAATATGTTTGGAGAAGACCTCCGATAACAAATCCAGCGGTGCATCTGGGAAATCGAACTCAGAAGCTTCCATACACTGCTTGGATGCTTTTATCACTGAGGTACTGGGAACTCGAGTTGTGAGTGATGGTTACTTGTAGGTTACCAGGCAACTACTGCATCAAATTATACATGTATGTCAATGAACTTTAGAATGCTGGGTCAGGGGAGGGGTAGTTGGACAGTTTCCAAGAATATCATAATGATCCAACTTCTCAAGTCAATTCACATAAAGGACAATATTAATTACCGCAATGTCTTTTCTACGTACGTTCGTGAAACCAGTTTGTAAATTAAATCTCGTCAGCAAGGATTCGCCTGCTTATCTACCAGCCCCGTTTGCACTGTGTGCATTTCCCTTAACCTAAATTAATTCTTCTTTTATTGGTCATTGTTTCAAGTGAGCCTCTGGTCTAACCTTATAGTATAAATATAAAAAACCACCAGACTTCAGTTACGACACCGCCTCTATATAAAGAAAAATGTATTACAGACAATATTACAGGTTTTGCTATAAAGCGTACGATCGCATTGCTACAATATAATCATCCTGACCTTGAAATAGTAACAAATATCAGTCATTTTCATTCCTTGACAGTCCTAGGCCTGGGCCAAACGTCGAACTTATCATGAGACCAACCAAATTCTAATTTGGGTCAAACGCAAATTAAGTTTAAGATCGTCAATTGGGTCAGACGTCGAACTTAGGACGAGTCGAACCAATCAACTGAGTACAAATTTTTAATTTACTAGTTTAGAAAGTCGCATGTGAAGACGGGGACAATCTTCAGACGTTCTATCCTTCCGAAGCCGACGGAGAGACGATCCAAACTCATTCAGACGAACTTAACAGAGCCAGACATCGAAATTTTCATGAACTTAACTCACTAAGTTTGGTTTGCCTAATGAAAAGTTCGACATTTGGCCTAGGCCTTAGGTCTTTTATGTAGAACGCAAGTCGTCCTGATAATCAAACTAACAAACTTCTAAAAATAGCTACATTTTCAGGATAGTATATTTTTATACACTCGGAAGCAAGCAATTTGGATGGGTTGTGCGTAAGTCTCATGCAATAAAAACAAAATGTTTCGAAATAAGCAGGGCTAGCTATTTTAATTACAGACAGTCTAAAGTTAGACCGTGGACAAAAGCGTTCAATGTGACCATTGCGTCTGTTTTACAGGTCTTACTAAAACTATTTACAGTCCTATGGCTGCTACCTTGAAACTGCGTTAGACTGACAGTAAGCCTTAAAATTTTACTTTTTCAACTTAAAACAAAAACTACCCAGTAGGCGTGAAACATCTTTACTAAATCTTTTTAGCGTACACTGCTTGAATCGTTTCTCTCCATGCTCGAAAGTACGTATTCACTATTAAAAAACAAGTTTTGTAAATCATTCAGGCTGTTTAGGTTGTTTTTGACTATGGGGTATAAAGCTTTGATTACCTCTTGATGAATTTTTTTAAATCAAAGGCTCTAGCAACACGTGACCAGCAAATACAACTAAAATAGCCCATTCTTAGGGGTACAGGAGGCAAGAATACTGTCGATTTTTTGGGGGAGGGGGAAATCTACCATCTGAGGAGACACTCTAAGATTTTCCCGACTTAATAAGTGGGATTTTCACAGATGTGAGAAAGCTTCCGTCCACATCTGTTAACCCAGGGGCGGATCTAGGGGGAGGGTGCAGGGGGTGCGCACCCCCCCTCCCCCTGAGATGACCTGCGGTTTTCTAATACTGACTGGTATTCTGCCAAAAAAAAAAATTGTGGTTTATTGGTGTTGAAGTAGAGCAAGAGACGAGTGCACCCCCTCCTGAAAAAAATCCTGGATCCGCCCCTGTAACCTAGCTTAATCTTGGAAGGCATGCAGGAATAAACAAAACAGTAAAAATGACTATTACCAGAAGAAAGAGGTAACAATGGGATCACATTAATCTACTCTATCTTCTGTTACCAGAAGCTAACACACTAGAGTTCAGTCATACATTTTCAGTTTCAATTCATGCATCAGTACATTTCCTCAGCCCCAACAAAGGCAAAAAGAAAAAATTATAATAATGATAAAACGTCCACACTGTTTCCAGATAAAGGGAAAATTTGTATCGTTCGAGACACTCACGCTTCTTGAACAATAACCTGTTCCATTGTAAATGCTACAGAATCGACTTTTGACTTTGCCAGCTAGCCAATTGTAACTATTTTTGGTTTCGTGAGCAATCCTTTAGAGAGTTTCAATGTTGAGCATTGAAATGAATAAGTTTCTTCGTCAGAGCTCTTGTTGATAGGTATGGAGGTCTTCTGGATCCACTTGTTTAGTTTGGGATTATAGCTATTAACTACAATCTCGGCTGGCTGGGACGCAACACCCACTACATAAACTGTTTCGTTAAGACACACCAAACTACATGAAACAACTGGGCGGGTAAAGTTCAAACTTGGAATGGTATGCCATTCATTAGTGGAAACCTGGTACACTTCACATTGCTGGCCACGGGCAGAAGTAACAAAAATCTTCTCTTGAGTAGCAACACCACAGGGACTTAACTCTGAAATTGGCATTGACGCAATTTTCTCCCATTTGCTTTCCGCAGTATCAAATCTGCCAGCTTTATTACTATTTCCACCACCAAGAATATACAGACAGTTGCCAAAGGCGACAATGCAAGAGTCGTTCTGATAGTGCGAGTCCTGAGAGGATAACAGAGTCTCCCAGGTGCACAACTCCACATTGTATCTTTTAATCACCAACTCATAGCGTCTGCTGTGTCTGTGGAAATGAGGCCCCGAATCGGCCTCTCGACGCAACTGTCGGTACATATATATAGCATGGATTTGCCCATTAACAACAGCCAACGAGAATGTATCATTTGGAAGGGGTAACTTTAATGTGGTCCAGCTGTTGAAAGCGGGGTCATATCTTTCTGTTTCAGCATTTCTTCTCCGAGGAAAACTATACAGCTGATCACGGAATTTTATTATCTGTGTCGTGTGGTCTCGGTCTTCTGATAATCCGTCTGCTAGTCGCTTCCATTCATCTTTCTCGGGAAGGTAACAGTAGGTTTTCTTTCCCCCACGTACTACAATGGCCTCCGTTTGAAGCCTTCTCCTTGAAGCACATGAAAGAAAAGAAAAATGTTCTGTTACCAGTTCATTTGTCACAACATCAGAGAGCAAAGAGTCACGCGAAAGCATGACCAGTCGGACATGACGAAAAAGCTGCTCAAACTTGTCTTTTCGCTCGCCTTTGTTTTGCTCCACCCAGTTAACTATTATTCTGAACACATCTTCTTCAGCTGCAACCAAAATATTTTCACTTGAAATCCACTTTTCAACTTCTTCTACATCCAAGTTTAAAAATTCATCTGACATTGCTACGGAAGTAAAGTTGTCTTGAATGAAGTTTGTACTGCGAAGAACAAGTTCTTGACACCCATATTTCTCGGCAAAGTGCAAAGTTGAAATGCAATTGTAGTTGGACATTTGCTTCTCTAGAAATCGCCCGGCGATGACTTTCAAAGACTCAAGCAGTAAATAGTCGGCTGCAATTATCAGATTCATGGCGTTTTCTCTATTTACCTCAATACTTCCCGTGTAAATGAACTTAACAATAACTCCGAGAATCGATTCTGAAATCTCTTCGAACCGAATGACTCCTTCCTCCTTCTCTCTCATGTCGCTATTAAGAAGCTTCGAAAAAAACGGGCTCGCCGCTGAAATAACGTTTCTATGGGCCTTGAATTCGTTCCCTTCTTTCGCTACTAAGGTTATGTCGCACAAATAGTTTTGTCGTCTTTGCATGTTGAGTCGCTTCATCATTTCCACACAGAACGATGATTGTTCAGCTTCACTGATTGGTTCTAAATCTAAAATGGATTCATCTTCTTCTATTTCCTCATCATTTTCTTCAGAACTGTACTCGCGAGAAGAATCCATACTCACACCTCAATGGCAATGGACCGTTCCAAATTTCACAAGGTTAAATTGTTGTTAAAATGCAAATAGTCTCTGGATTTCATAGGTCTGATAGGTAATGGTAATGATAACGTCGCGGATGAGAGGACAGCAATATATGTCCTCTTTACGCGATGTATTTTAAAACACTAATATAAGAGGGACAGTCTGAATTGGATAGCTGACTTTGAGAAAACAAAAAAAAGGCCTGCAAGAGAACATGCATGGAAAAATATACCTTCGAAAAAGACCATTTTGAGGAGCAAATGAATGAATGAGTAATATTAATCTTATTGAAGATGCCAACTTCACTTAAACTAGTGATTACAGGAGGGTCTTCTTAGACTAAAATCACTTGAAGAATATAATAATTTACATATCAAAAGTTTAAAAAGTAGAGAGGAGAAGTCGTTACGTCACGTTGCCATGGTAGCAAAATTTTTGGATGACAACAAACCGATAAAGTCACTTAAAAGTCTATTTGCACTATTTTAAACTTAAGCGATCTTATTCAATTTCATTGAATTTGGCAAATCTTGGCGAATGTTATCTAAGTTTAAAAAAAGAAAGCGACAATTTTTGTGTTGTGTTCACCTACTATATTCCGCAAAGCGGGCTCGTGAAATTAGGAGGTTTCATGTCACAGTGGTTTAATGACGGCAAAGAGATGTACAAAATAGCGTGATGCAAGTGCAAAGTTGTTGTTTGTTAACATAAACATATTATTTTTTGCCGTTTTCCTTGCCGTCGCCGCCGTCGTTGGTTTTGTTGTCATCCACAAATAGTTCTACCACGGTAACGTGACGTCACACTTCTCTATTTTACAAGATAAGAGTTTATAAAATTGTAATAGTTTAAAAAATGAGATGTATATCAAATAAAAACTAAGAATCTAAAATGACTTAAATCATAATTGTATATTAATAACATACAAGTATGTTATACTAGAGATCTCGTTTCGTCAGTAAAACTGGATAAAGAGGTGGCTTCCCTTAGTGACAGATCAAATGGAATTCCACTCATTTGAGGCAAAGGGCTCATTTAGAGCTTTTTGAGGCTCTGCTCACAACTGCTTGGTGCCAAGGGAGGTATACAGGCGTAGTAAGTACGAGCTAACTAGCTCTCCTCAATTCAGATTCCCTCATCTTCAGGGAACCAGTGGCAGATAGTGACATAAAAAAACGGTACATGTGACATGGTCGAGGAAAAAGTGAGCTTATTTGGTCAAGTGAAAAAGGAAAGATTGGCCAGATTCCTTACAGGCAAAGTTCTTTAGAAAAACATTTTCCGATTTTCCGTATCCCGCTAATTGTCACAGTCTCAAATCCCTGCTCAAACAGGGTAAATCCTGGCCAAGACCCTCTTAAACGGGCGTTAACCATTTAATACAGGTTTTACTAATCAAAGGTAAATACAAAAGAAGATGTTGAGTAGGAGAAATATCCACTGCAAGACGAAATAGCCCACAGAGGGTTTTGCTGTCTACTTGTGCCAAAAGAAGAGAAATTAGAGGCCATTAGTGGCCATATGAGAATCTATTGGATCGTTTCATCCACTTTCTACCGGTTTTTACCTTGCATTTTGGTTCACTTAACACATGGATACAGGCTACGAAAAAGCGGGGGCGCATATTTGCCTCATTCGCTCGTAATTAAGGATGTGAATACAGGTTATACTGCCCTAATCATTCCTATTCATGACCATTTCGGGCTTATAGATAACCAGGACAGTGACTCGACGAGTATCTTCTCTGGTGCATCAAAATCACCCAACGTTTCCTATTGATCACAATGGGGGTTTTCTTGTGCCTCGTATTGTTGGGGATTATTGGTGAACTTGTTTACAAAACAATGTGGAAAGCAAACAAAAGGGTTGAGAACAGTGAAGGTTAGTAGTAAAGGGCGTATGCACATGTTTCACTCCTTTTTATCGACTGAAATTTCACGGATGCCAAGTGGAGCTGTATCCACCCAAAAACAGCATATTAAATAGAGGCAAGACCACAGCGAGAAACTGTTGAGTACAAGTATTGCCGAATCACCAATTGTAGACTTGGATCAGTACAAGTACCTTCCGCTATGCAAAATATGTAAACGAAAAAACAATGAAGAAGTAAACAATATATGGAAAAATGGTAAAACAGGAATATTTCAATTCAATATTTTTGTCTACTTTTCTGGCCTTAGGAAAAAATATTTTTCACTAAATGAGTTCAAATTTGGTACTGCGAGTTAAACCTGGTATGATCGAAACGATCTCTTGAAAACAGCAGTTCAGGTGTGAAATAGGGTATGATAAACATCTCATATTGGGATGGGACAGCAAGGTTCGCGGAACGGTCAGCACTAATGTGGCTCGGGCTAAAGTCCCGCCTCTAACGGCATATATGGGGTTGAGTTTGTTGTTGGTTCTCTCCCTTGCCCCAAGAAGTTTTTCCCCGGGTACTCGGGTTTACCCCTTTTCTCAAAAACCAACATTTCCAAGACATTCCAACACACCCCTACCGAATATACAAGATTATCTCCCCGGGAAGACTTTTATCAGTAATTCTCCTTAAACAGTAAGAATTAGATTGACTAATCACACCTGTTTTTAAAATGTGGATAAGGGCCTCTCAGTCAAGTTCAGACTCGGCCGAAATCGTTTCACTTAGATGGGATGAAACGAACGATTATTAAAACAACTACACGGTAACCATTCTCCAGTCAGTATGCGGGGCATCGTTTAAAGAAAAGAGGAAGGACAACTTAAGGCAACCGTCCATCGCGTTGTATTTCGTTAGCTTATTTTTCGTGTGTGTAAAAAGATTTATTTCTCTTGCAGATGAAATTGAACTAAAGGATCTCAGAGTTCAGTCGAACTCCGGCAAAGACAACCTCAAGGATATTGAGGATAAACTGGGACAGTTGGTTCGAAAGCGCACGGAAACTCTTGCTACGCAGGCTATCAGAGGCTCATGTTGGGTGCTCCAATAAAACTAGCAATAATGGGCCATTTCCGAGTTCCAAAACCTCTCACTTTCAAAACGAGGCAAGTGCAAAACCTTTCTTTTGAAAACGAGTTTTATTTGCGTGAGAATAAAAGATCGCTTTCATATCAATAACGTTTTCGCACTCAGCCTCGCTTTGTAAGGGCAGTGGACATTTCTCCTCTCCCCAGCTCTTCTACAACACTGAAGCGGAGGCCAGTGGTGTGCGTAGCAACGAGGGCGCATAAAACGTCCGGTAAGACCGGTTAACTCCAGACAATGTTATGTTTGTTCGACTTACCGCTCTATTCCGCAACTTTACTGATATTGCATCAGCAATGTAAAAACTAAAAAAGAAACGGAAAATCGTATTTGGGAGAAAAACGCTCTTCCCAATTTTCATTTTTCTTGATCATGTGACAATGATTACGGCAGAAGCCCATTTTACTTAGTACACCATACCCTGGATGCGTTGAGACGCTGCTTCCAAGAGCAATGTACAAGACCATATATGACTGTGAAAACACTCCTGATGAGGGTTTCCCGCGTTACAGTGACAATAGTTTTGGAAAATTCCGAAAAATTCGGCGACGATTTAAATCAGACCAGGACGTTTTTCTAGCTCTTCCAAGACTTGCGGCTGAACTCCTGCTGGTAATACTGAACCTGTGGGGGCTAATACTGCAGGTCAAAAATTGTTAAAGCTAAGGCATAAGCGTTGTTTCGATTTGTTGAAAAAGATGCCATCCTTTTTAAAGAGTTTCTTAACTGAAGTTTTATTATATACAGTCACATACCTCAGTACTGAAAAAGGAACGTTTAGGAGCAATATGAAAACAATTTTAGTGTCAGAATTGCAACTAAATACAAAATCACAAATAGGGGCCAAGTCGCACTAGAGGACAAAACTGTTTATTTATGTCAAAAATCTGTCATCACAATGAAAAACCAAGTGCGACCGGTTTGTTCACCAAAGGACAAAATTTGGTCGCAGACGGACAAACTTCAAAGATGCCGTCGACTACCTCTGGAGCAGGCCAAATTGAGACAAATTTTGGAAAACAATAGCAAGGGTGTTTTAATTCGGAAATGATTTGACAGGTGATTTGTAGCAGAGTCTCTATGCTATAGACTTCGTTGTAAAATTAATCACGTTCTCATTTCGCAACAACATGAATTCCGGCGCGGGCGACCATTTTTTCCGTACGAATATCCACAATATCCACCAGGATGGATCTATCCTTTGCCAGGCCCTTACATGTTTAATGATCGAGAAAATCCCAGCCCATCTTCTTCGACCATGAGTGCTGACTCGTTGCCAGAATCCCTCCGGTTCAGCGAAGATTTAATGCCGCCATCAACCCCATGTTCTTAGCCCCGTGCATCTTCGTCAGCCGAGAACAAGAAGGCTCAGGACAGATGGAGTAAAGAAGCTTTTAGTTCACTGAACTGAGGGCTGAAAAGCATGGTGTTGTGTTTTGTTCACAGATTTTGTTCTTAAGTGCGACTGTAGCTGTCCGGACAAATTTTTTGTCACTGGCCGATTTCAAGTCGGATTTGTCCAGAACAAATCTGAAATTGCCCTCTAGTGCGACTTGGCCCTATGACATGACTTCAAGTAATTGAAACCTGACGCGCTAACGGACAAAACAGACTACAATAGAATAAATGGTTTCAGTCGTTGTTTGGAAAAAATTCATGTCATTATCAATCTGGTTGGTAAAGAAATTAGGTAACACCATGATACCACTGCGTGCTATTTGATTTCCTGTTGCGCAGTATCATGATCAGTGAAGTGTACCTCTTTTCATGCATGTTTTAAGTACAAGAGTTCAGAAAAGCAGATGGTGAATTGCTAACGTACGCATATGGAAATAAGCAGTACATTGCTCTTGCTCTACTTAGAGCCACAAAATACTAAGATTTTAGAGAACACTGTACTTGCACTAGTGTTGCAATCAGTCAAAATAACACTAACATTGGGAGTTTTCTGTGTTGAACTTCCATCTTATACGCGAATGTTGACAGAGGATGACAGAGCCTCCTAGGGGCACACGTACAACTCCATATTGTTTCTTTCAATCACTGGGACCGTGCAGGATCCGTACCGCCTGCTGGACTCGTAGTACTGACTCCACCACTTAATCCCTTAGCATGGATTTGCCCATTAACAACAGCCAACGAGAATGTATTATTTGGAAGGGGTAACTTAAAAGTGGTCCAGCTGTTGAAAGCGGTGTCATATCTTTCTGTTTCAGCATTTCTTCTTCGAGGAAAGCTATACAGCTGATCACGGAATTTTATCATCTGTGTAGTGTGGTTTTTGATAATTTGTCTCCTGGCCGCTTCCATTCATCTTTCTCAGGAAGGTAACAGTAAGCTATCTTCCCTCTGTTATTTGCAGTGTGTCAGTTTAGTTTGTTCAGCAGTCCTCTGGTAAGTTTAAGTGTACAGCCTTTAAATGAAGGTTTTTGTTTCTCAGAGTTCTGTTCTGCAGGAATGGAGGACTTAAGGATCCACTTATTGACTTTGGGATCATACTCTTCAACTGTGAGCTCTGTGGCTCGTTCATAAAATTGATTATTAAAACCACCTAGTACATATAGTGTTCCGTTTAGGTACACCATGCTACCATGAATGCGTTGAGTATTCAAACTTTCAATGGTTTGCCATTCATTAGTGGAAATCTCGTATACTGCACAGTTTAGGCCATTAGTAACAAAAATCTTCTCTTGAGTGGCCACACCAAAGGGGACACTCAACCTTGTTGGCATCGAGGCAATTTCCTCCCATTTTTTTCCTACTGTATCAAATCTGCCAGCTTTATCGCTATATCCACCACCAAGCACATACAGACAGTTGCCACAGGCAACAACACAAGAGTCATCACTGTAGTGGAAGTCCTGAGAGGATGAAACAGTCTGCCAGACACACAAATCTACATCGTACCTCGTAATCACTGGGTTTGATCGATAACGTCGGTGTATAGCGTGGATCTGTCCGTTAACAACAGCTAACGAGTGTTCTGCAAAAGGAGGAGAAAACTTCACTGTAGCCCAGCTGTTGAAAACAGGATCATATCTTTCAATCCCGTTACAGGTACTCCGAGGAAAGCTATACAAATTATCACGGAATTTTATCATCTGCGTAGTTTGGTCTCGGGTCTCTGATACTCCGTCTGCTAATCGCTTCCACTCATTTTTCTCAGGAAGGTAACAGTAAGTTTTCTTCCCCCCACGAACAGCAATGGTGTGCGTTTCAAGCCTTCTTTTTGCCGCCTGCATAAGGGTTTCGTCGCTTGCACTACTAACGAACTTAATAGCATCCAGAACCTGCCTCAAACAAGGGGCACTCTCCCTCACCAGATCATTCGTCACGACATCAACTTGCAAATAGTCACGCGATAGGGAAACCAGTCGAATGTGACGAAACAGCTGCTCGAATTTTGCTTTGCGCTCGTTTTTCTGTTCAACCCACTTTAGTATGACTCTGAACACGTCTTCTTCAGCTGCTACACGAATGTTTTCACTTGAAATCCATTTCTCAACCTCTTCAGCTTCTTGGTTTAAGAATTCATCTGATTCTGCCACAGATGCGAAGTTGTCGTGAATGAACTTCGTACTGTTTGCAACAAGTTCTTCGCAGCGATATTTCTGAGCAAAGCGAAGAGTTGAAATACAATTTTCGTTGGTCAATAATTTCTCTAGAAACCGCCCTGAGCGGGTTTTCAGACTCACAAGAAGTAAATAATCCGCTGCCATTATCTGTTCTTTTGCAGTTTCTTCTTCTTTTACTTCGATACTGCCAGTGTAGATGAAGTCCAACACATCTGCTAAGATTGACTCCGAAATCTCTTCAAATCGAATGATTCCTTGTTCTTTTTCTTTCATATCACTCTTAAGAAGCTTCACAAAAAACGGACTCACCGCCGACAGCACATTTCTATGAGCTCTGAATTCCTTCCCTTCCTTCGCCACCAAGGTAATGTCGCACAAATAATTTTCTCCTCGTTGCATGTGAAGTCGCCTCAGCAATTCCACACAGAACGAACTCTGCTCAGCGTCACGGATTGGTTCTAAATCTTCCATTTTTGCGTTTCTAGTTTGACTGAAGTCGATGCAAGAACTTTGTTTAATTACGTGGCTGAATCGAATGCAAATCAGCACTGGCAAATAAAGATGAAGAGGAAGCGAATTCTGCGTTCTGATTGGCTACCCTAGAGGGACAGAGATGGGGTGCCCAATCTTGCCCGCTTGGTATTTCCCCGAGTTGGTCCCGAAAGAAAAAGATCTCATTTTGGCCATCTGATAAATCATTTATTGACCAAGCTGGCTGGATATTTGCCTCGTTCTTTTTTTGCGTTTTTATTTGACTTCGTCTCTGTCAATAAAAACAAAAAAAAAAGAACTTGGCCAATATCCAGCCATCTTCAATGTATCCTTTTAAGAAAATATATGCCATCACGTGACGACAGAAACTGTGACACAGTTAAATTGTCAGGGGGTTGTGGGGGCTGGGGATGGAAAGAACACCCTGGGGACTAGGTTGGAAATTTCATAATAACGCCCTCTTGAGAAACTCCAAGTTGTGACCCTACCCAAAAGCCCCGAAGAGAACTTCCTATCAGGCTATTATCAGAAAGTCGGCTGACCAGCACGTTTACAATACAGTAAAAACCCGCAACTAAGAACCTACATTTTTAGGGGTTGGCCTAAACAGCTTCTTATATAAATGGTAGTTAACAGAATTTAAGGCTATTTAGGTTCTTAAAATGGGTTCTTAATCCTGGAGAAAAAACAATTAAAACACAGCTGCAAACGAGTTGGTCATTAGCCTATACTTTTATTTTCTTCAGCCCTACCCAGCCCCCCACAAAACATACATATTGCTTAGTATGCTTTGTAAGTCTACATATCTTGCACTCATTTTTCTTTAAAAAACACTTTTACAACAATGGCAATCTGCTTTTTTGGCTTCAAATATGATTCTTGCAATGCAGCTGTAATGTACTAGCATGATTTTAGAAAATAAGAACCTGTTTTAAATTTCTTAGGCTAAATAGGTTCTTGTTTATAGGGGGTATAAATAACCAATTTTAGGCTAACAGGTTCTTAATTTTTAGGTTCTTAGTTGCCGGTTTTTACTGTATGCCTCTAATCCTTGAAATTGTGTTGGTTATGCAGGGAGGACAAATGAGAAAACAAACAAACAAACAAACAAAAACAAGCACAAAACAAACTGGCAAATAAATAAACAAACAACAAATGCACTCAGCCTCCTTCAGCTCGTTCAGTAAGCTCATATTTGTCATACCTAAAAAAAATTTCTTATTACGTTAACGGTGAATATGCCCCGTGTTTCCTGTCTTGTGTAGGAACGTTAACTACTGGCAGCTCGGAAGGAAATGTCCACTACTGGTGGCATAGTTATCATTATGGCCAGTGTGTTCCATCAAAGGTGAGGAAAACACTAGAGCACTAGATCAGTTCAGCAAGCTTCTTTTTTTTACAATGTCTTATAGATGTTTTACAGAGTTATTTTTTATAGTCTGTGGACTTGTAGTGATCGTCATCAATGGTGGAATAAATATGCCCCTCATTACTAAGCCACTCTAATGTACTCCTGAAAATAATAAAAGAAACTTTTTCAGCCAAATAATGAAAGAACAAGAAAGAACAATGAAGGACAAACACTTATTCACTAACTGAAATCTCACTGTAAAACACTCTAACAACCTCAAGCTGACAATCTCAGGACCAGGTGTCCATTTATGCAAGCCCTAGGATTTCAAATCCCATGGAAAACAATTTTTTGGTTCCCTGAAAATTCATAAGAATCCATCACCTAAATCTTTTCAATTTTTCAAAGTCACATTTTTTTCTTGGCACTGGAAGCCATAAATCAGCAATGTGCAATGCACTTTGGGAACGATTCAAGATGGCGGACAACAGAAAAGTGATAAATGCTAAACAACATTTTAGTTTCGTATAAAAGCCGAGTCATAACTAAAGGATTGCTCTACTAGTTAAGAAACTGAGTGGAAAAATAGTGAATTTCTGTGAACTGATCCCTTAGGCTGAAAATGTCACTGGGAAACTATTTTTCTCTTCCGATGTTAAAGGCCACGGTAACGACACGGTGCCGCAAACGATCATTACTGTGAAATCCTTGAGCTTGTTATGGAAGGTTGGATAAATCTCAAGAAACTACAAAGAGCCACAAAGAAAAATTTCAATAGAACAATTTAAATTTAAATTCAAACTTGGTTCCGATACTTAAGGGAATAAAATAATTAACCCTGGATTTGCACTAATCACTGAATGAGCAACTCAGCTCAGATGTAGAACACAGAAGCTATGACAGAGCATACCTGATCTGTGCATCGGACACTCCTCTGAGCTTCTGTTTTATTTCAGTAAATCCCATGCCTTGCTCACTTGGCATCTTTTAATCATAGTTTGAATCTGATACAGAAAGGTGGAATATTATTAATCAATTTTCCTAGTCTAAAGTCCTACTTATTAGTCTTTGTCAACCAACCCTTGCTGCTTTCTGTTTACCAAAAATCTTCAGAAATTTTACATCAGGAAGAAATGTTTTCTGTTTACCTGACAATTAGTTATGAAGATTAGGTATACAATAAGAAATGAAAATGACAAAAAAGGAATTTAAAAGATGGGACAAAGAAGTTCTCTACTTGTCTCAACAGAAAAAAAAAATACCGGTCATTACGGGCCATATTGCAATCTTTAAACCTTCCCACACTGGCTTTGCTACCTGGAGTTTGGTTCAGTAAAAACAAGGGAATTAGGAAACAGCCGGGGTTCATATTTGCCTCTGATTAGTTTGTAATTACGGATTGTCAATCAAGTCCTAACCATACCTATTCATGGCCATTTCAGGCTTATAACCAGGACAGTGACTCGCCGAGTATCTTCTCTGGTGCATCAAAATCCACCCAACGTTTCCTATTGATCACAATGGGGGTTTTCGTGGGCCTCGCATTGTTGGGGATTATTGGTGAACTTGTCTAAAAAACAATGTGGAAAGCAAACAAAAGGGTTGAGAACAGTGAAGGTTAGTAGTAAAGGGCGTATGTTTCACTCCGTTTTACCTACTGGAGTTTCATGCAAACCGTTGAGTATTGCCGTATCACAGGGTTGTAGACTTGGATCAGCATAAATAGTTTGTATAGAAAATATACAAAACTTCAAAGCGATAAAGAAGTAAACAAACTCTAATTAATTGTGGTTAATATTAAAACAAAAATGTTTAAAAAAATTGGCGCGATAATTCGTTTTTTTTTGATAACTTTCTCTCCTTGACGGTCCTTTCCATCCGAATAGGACTGAATTAAATAAACTCGGCATTTGGGTTGCATTTCCCTGCCGAATTAACAATATCCTGGGTAGCTTATTTTTCGTGTGAGTGTAATGACTATTTCTCTTGTAGATGGGATTGAATTGAAGGATGTCAAGGTTCAGTCAAACTCCAGCAAAGGCAACCTAAAAGATATTGAGGACAAACTGGGACAGTTGGTTTGTGAAGTCGGGAAATTACAAGAACAACTTGTTAATATTTCATCTCAAGCAAATGGGACTTTCTCACAGAGCACAACTCACATGTAGGGCTTACCGGTGAAAATAGACGCCATCTTATAAGCTGATTCGGTTGCAAGGTTGAGGACCTAGTTGCAAAGGTTTTGTGTGGTGGAGTGAGAGTTGGATTCGCCAGTGAACAGGCATGGAACTTTGAATAGACGAAGCATTGTGACCACTTCAGCCTCATCATCGGCACGTGGTCACTGTTCCCTTGTCAAGTTTTCGGTCGAAATCTGATCAGTTATTCTACTTGAAACTAGAAATAGTTTCATCGCTGAACCACGTAAGGCTCGGGAGGGTGCTCCGTAAAATGTTAGGGATGCGAGTTATACTTTCTTCAAAAATAGAATGAATACGTTTGGAGAAGACCTCCGATAACAAATCCAGCGTTGCATCTGGGAAATCGAACTCAGAAGCTTCCGTACACTGTTTGGATGCTTTTATCACTGAGTTACTGGGAACTCGAGTTGTGAGTGATGGTTACTTGTAGGTTACCAGGCAACTACTGCATCAAATTATACATGTATGTCAATGAACTTTGGAATGTTGGGTCAGGGGAGGGGTAGTTGGGCAGTTTCCAAAAATATCATAATGATCCAACTTCTCAAGTCAATTCACATAAAGGGTAATGTTAATTACCGCGATGTCTTTTCTACGTACGTTCGTGAAACCAGTCTGTAGATTAAATCTCGTCAGCAAGGATTTGCCTGCATATCTACCAGCCCCGTTTGCACTCTGTGCATTTCCCTTAACCTAAATTAATTCTTCTTTCATTTGTCATTGTTTCAAGTGAGCCTCTGGTCTAACCTTAGTATAAATATAAAAAACCACCAGACGTCAGTTACGACACTACCTCTACATAAACAAAAATGTATTACGCCCCCCTCCCCTCCCCACGAGAAGGGAAAAGCCCTGGGAACGAGGTTGAGGCTACCCACACCCAATTCTTGTAATTAATTACCACGTCCACATGATACCCATTCAAAGGGTAAAAATATGAGTTTTACTAGAAAGATGTTTAGGATTTTAACCAAGAGAATTTAACTTGTTTATTTTAAAAAAGGGGGTATTCAGCATTTTGGTTCAAAATAGCCCAAAAGTTACCAAAAAAGTGCTACATTTTCAAAAAGTTGCTAGAAGTTGCTCTCTGACAAAAAAGTTGCTCAAAATCCTAAAAGTTGCTAAAAAGTTGCCGAGCAGAATCTGGAAAGGCCTACACCCTAGCGTCTATTTTACAAGTTGTACTAAAACTATTTACAGTCCGATGGCTGCTGCCCTTGCAACTGCGTTGGAACAAAAAGCCTTAAAATTTTTAATTTTTGAGATTTGTGAAAACAAAAACTATCCAGTAGGTGTGAAACAACAGTACACTGGTTGAATCGTTATTCTCCATGTTCAAAATGTACGTATTTGCTATTAAAAAACAATGTTTTGTAAATCAGTCAGGCTGTTTAGGTTGTTTTTGACAATGGAGTATAATTTTTAATTGTTGCCTCTCGAAGAATTATTCCCTGATGAATTTTTACATTAAAGGCTGTAGCAGCACGTGACCAGCTGATGAAGCCTATAAATACAACAAGGTGAATTCAATTATACCCACTTTAGCCCACTCATTTTCTTGTCTTAGAGCTGTTTGTGTGAACCTAAAATACTCCTTTCCCATGAGACAAAGATCATATTATTTTGGTGGGGGGTGTAGGGGTGGGGGGGTGGGATAGACTTTCTGGGTAGACACTCCAGAAGAAAGAGAGGATAATGGGATTCCCTTAGACTACTCTATCCCCTGTTACCAGTGGGCCTAGTTGTTTGAAGGCTGGTTAGCGCTAACCCTAGGTTAAATGTTAATCCAGGTTTCTTTTTCTTTTGTTCAAAAGCATTTTCCCAGATAAAAAAAAACTGTATTCTTTTTAAAACATCCAATGATCGACTTGTTGACAAAAAATTAAATTGAATTTTCTTTTTAAGCTTCAATATCTGAATTCAAATTTCGCACTAACCTTGGGTTATCTTAAACCAACTTTGAACAACCTGGCCCAACTGACTCATAGCTAAGTAACACATTAGAGTCCATTGCATTTTCAGTTTCAGTTCATGCATTGAATTTCCTCTGTCCCAACAAAGGCAAAAAGAAAATATAAAGAAGATAAAGATAAAGGGAAAATTTGTATCATTCGAGGCACTGCACCTCACTTATCCTTCCCGAACAAAAACACATTTCCATTGTAAATGTTATAGAATTGTCTTTGTCACCTAGTCAATTTTTATTACTGTTGGTTCCTCAAGCAATCCTTTAGAAAGTTTCAATGTAGAGCATTGAAATGAATAAGTTTCTTCTTCAGAGCTCTTGTTGATAGGTATAGCTTTTAACAACAATCTCACATGCATGTGACAAATTATTTTCAGCAGTACCCAATGCATAAACTGTTTCGTTAACACACACCATACAACATGAAAAAAATCTGGTAAAGTTCAAACTTGGAATGGTATGCCATTCATTTGTGGAAACCTGGTACACTACACATTCCTGGCCCTCTGCAGAAGTAACAAAAATCTTCTCTTGAGTAGCAACACCACAGGAGCTGTACTTTGAAATTGGCATGGATGCAATTTCCTGCCATTTGCTCTCCGCAGTATCAAACCTGCCAGCTTCGTTACTATATCCACCACCAAGAACATAGAGACAGTTGCCAAGGGCAACGACACACGAGTCATCCCTGTAATGGAAGTCCTGAGAAGATAACAGAGTCTCCCAGGTGCACAACTCTTCATTGTATCTTTTAATCACAGGGGCGGACGTGCTGGAATGGCGGCCTCGACGCGACCGAATGCGGTATATAACATGGATTTGCCCATTAACAACAGCCAACGAGAATGTCTCATTTGGAAGGGACAACTTTAATGTGGTCCAGCTGTTAAAACCAGGCTCATATCTTTCTGTATCATCATGTCTTCTAAAGCTGTACAAGTGATCATGGAATTTTATTAACTGTGTAGTGTGGTTTCGGTTTTCTGATAATCCGTCTGCTAATCGCTTCCATTCATCTTTCTCGGGAAGGCAACAGTAAGTTTTCTTTCCCCCACGTACAACAATGGCGTCTGTTTCAAGCCTTCTTCTTGAAGCACAGGTCAAAGAAAGATGTCCTGTTACCAGTTCATTTGTCACGACATTAGAGAAAAAGGAGTCACGCGAGAGCAAGAGCAGTCGGACATGACGAAAAAGCTGCTTAAACTTGTCTTTTCGCTCGGGTTTGTTTTGCTCGATCCAGGTGAGTATGATTCTGAACACGTCTTCCTCAGCTCCAACCAAAATGTTTTCGCCTGAAATCCACTTCTCAACTTCGTCGGCTCCCAAGTTTAAAAATTCGTCTGTCTTGGCTACGGAAGTGAAGTTGTCTTGAATGAACTTTGTACTACGAAGAGCAAGTTCTTCACATCTATATTTCTCGGCAAAGTAAAAAATCGAAAAGCAATTGCAGTTGGACATTCGCTTCCCTAGAAATCGCCCGGAGATAGTTTTTAAAGACTCAAGCAGTAAATAGTCGGCTGCGATTATTAGATCCTTGGCATTCTTTTCATTTATCTCGACACTTCCTGTATAGATGAACTCCAAAACATCTGAGAGGATCGATTTCGAAATCTCCTCGAACCGAATGACTCCTTCCTCTCTCTCTTTCATCTCGCTCTGAAGAAGCTTTGAAAAAAACGGACTCGCAGCCGATAACACATTTCTATGGGCCTTAAATTCATTCCCTTCTTTCGCTACTAAGGTTATATTGCAGAAATAGGACTGTTGTCGCTGTATGTTGAGTCGCTTCATCAGTTCAAGGCAAAACAAAGATTGTTCAGCTTCACTGATGGGTTCTAAATCTAGAAGAGACCGCTCGACTACTGACGAACTAGATTGAGTTTCGACAAACTTGTGACAGACTTCCTGAGGCTTTTTTTCACAACTAAGTTCCTCCATACTAAGTTCAATAGAGACGGCGTCTCCCAAACTTCTGATATTTCAACCTAAGTTGGCAGAGTACACTCCTCTCACAGCCCGCGTAACAAGCGTTTGATTTCGGAGCAAAGACAGACAGAGGAACGGGATTTTCGGTTTTGGCCGCGCGAGAAATGAAACGACAGCCACAAACGGATAGGGACTGATTAGGGACTGTGCAATAATTATCAGGAGGGGGTGCTGAAAAACTAGAGTTATCTAGCAAAAACTTAGACAGTACCCCCTTCCAAAACAAAAAAAATTAGTTCTAGCCCCCCCTCTGTTATGTTAAAAATAACGTCGCACCCTCCCCCCGCCCCTTCCACCACACTGGTAAACTCAAAACTGCTTCAATAATGACAAACGTTATTATGTAACATCTAGTATCGAGAAGGATGTTGATCGCTTGATTGAAGATTTAGACAAAGCATTTGCTAAGTACCGGGGTGCTTACCACATTGGCTCAAAATCTAAAACTTCTGAAGCCAGAAAGAGAAAGGAGCAGAGAAAAAAAATCAAAGAACAGGAGATTGAACGCTTCAAATAACAGACGAAAAAGAGCTTGCATTATATTTAGATCCTTGGGAGGAGAGCCTGTTGAACTTTGTTATGCGCCACATATATAAGGAATTCAGCAAATCGATTCAGTCGATGAAGAAACATTACTTTTATTCAAATCAAAAACCGACAAAGCTTGTCTACGAGATATGTTTGATTCCCATTGTTTTATGGGGGAAGCTGAAAAACAAGTTCATGATTTTTGCTTTACATAGGATCAGCTCAATTAATTAGAAGACGGGTTAAAATTCATCAGTTTTGAATTTGCTTTTCATTTTGATGGAATATTTTCAATAATCGTTTAACAGCTGTTCGTGTTGATATTTGTTACAGTCTATCATGATGCCTGTATTGAGAATCTTTTATTGCGTTTAATTTTATTTACATTTCGAATAAAACTTAAGGCCCCCTCTCCGTCAAATGAGTGATTTTACTTTGAGCCCCCCCTATCTTGGCAGCAATTTTATGTAATACCCCCCCTCTAGTTTTTCAGCCCCCTCCTCCTGATAATTATTGCACAGTCCCTAAAAGAGGGTGGACGGAGAGGGAAAGGAAGGTTTCCTACCTTCCTTCCCCACACACGCCCCCCTTTTTTACTCGCGCCATTTTTCGCGCGGTCTTTGACTCTCGTTCCTCTTTCTTTGCTCCGAAACCGCACGGAAACGATTGCTATGCAGGCTACCAGAAGCTCGTGTTGGGTGCTCCAATAAAACTAGCAATTATGGGCCATTTCCGAGTTCCAAAACCTCTCACGTTCAAAACGAGGCTAAGTGCCCTTTCTTGTGATAATGAGTTTGTTTACATGAGAATAAAAGATCATTTTAATATCAATAACTTCTTCTCACTCAGTCTCGCCTCGTAAGGGCATTGGACATTTCCCCTCTCCCCAGCTCTTCTACAAAAACACTGAAGAGGCCAGTGGTGTGCGTAGCCGGTTAACTCCAGACAATGTTATGTTTGTTCGATATACCGCTCTATTCCGCAAGTTTACCGATATTGGATCAGCAATGAAAAAACTAAAAAAGAAACGGAAAATCCATAGGCGTACGGGCAATTTTTTGCCAGGGGGGGCGGTAATCCATTTGCCCAAAAAATTCTTGCAAGATGCCCAAATTTTTACAAAACAGTCCAAAGGAAACTAGGGCCATGCAACAAAATAGGCCGTACTGGCATATGAAAGTGGCTCGATACAGTTTTTCAGAGTCAATACCTACCAAGTTTGAGCATAAACTACGTCGCCACAAACAAGCATTTGGAAAAAATTGCCACCACAGTTGTATTAGATAAAGAGGGAAATTTGTCATGATCAGGATTGCAATGACATCGGAGCTGTCATAGCAACGAAATGACGCCATTACCTATTATACTTGCAGCAATATTTCTCACTGGGAACTGTTCTTACAAAATCGTTCCGGGAAGCTCTTTCCTCTAATAGTCGCCTCGATGTTCGTGAAGTTAAAACGGAACTGTAAGAGCGTTATCGAGATATTTTGGGATGAAGTTTTTATTGTTAGAAATAAGGTAAAAAAGGAAAATCTTGATGTTTAGAAAACGGAGTTTCAATCTTATTAAAAACGTGTATGAAAGATCATGGAGATAGCTCCTGCCAATTGCTAATAAGGAAGGATTTGATTAGCGCTCGATCTTGTTAGGAGTTTCGTAAACATTTCGGTCTACTTAAACAAATTAGTGAATAATTTTTAAACCCTCGATAGATTTTTTCAAGAAAATTATGATTCTTCTCGTAATTCAAACTGAGAATTAGTCAGCCACTTCACTTTCAGACCCACTGCTGATGCGTGTTCTGCCACACACTGTTCTAGGAGCGGAGGTGATTCTAGAAAGTTATGCGGAAGTTTATTCTAATCAATTCATGACTGGAAATAGCCCACTCCAGCTAGTACAGTGAAGTACAGTGCACAACAACAACAAAAAAAATCAGCATATGATACCCTTCCCTTACAACCAGAAACTCATTACATGCTAGGCAACCACTCTCTCGTGTGAACGTAACTGAATTATTACGCCGACTTCTGGTTAAAATAGAAAATATTTGTGTCTTCAAAATATAATAATAATAAAAAACATGGAAACGTCTTTAAAAACTGGCTTTGCCCAAGTTTTCTCTTGCTGCCCAAAAAATCTGAGTTGCCCAAACTTTGGGGGCGCTGCAGCCCCCCTCGCCCCCCTAGCCTGTTCCAGGCGTTCAGATAGTGCGGAGCGGTGCAAAGTAAAAGGGAGCGCGAAAACCCCAGTCCCCCTCTACTTTTCATCGCTTTCTCTACTCCACACCGCTCTCCACTATCTGAACGCTTGGAACAGGCTATCGCCCCCCCGGCCCGTACGCCTATGGGAAAATCAAACCCGCCACACCCAATTTTCATTTTTCATGATCATGTAACAATTGCGGCAGAAGCCCATTTTATACCGTACCCTGGATGTGTTGAGACGCTGCTTCCAAGAGCCATACATACCATACACCACACACTAACCATATATGACTGTGAAAACACTCCTGATGAGGGTCACCCCTATTTGATTAATACAGTGACAATACTTTTGGAAAATTCCGAAAAATTCCGTGACGATTTTCGAGAAGTTTGACTTGTACTAACTCTAATCAGACCAGGACGTTTTTCTAGCTCTTCCGAGACCTGCGGCTGAACTCCTGCTGGTAATAACCGGTGAGGGCTAATACTGTCGGTCAAACATTGTTAAATCTAAGGCATGAGCGTTGTTTCGATTTGTTTAACTGAAAAGATGCAATCCTTTTTTTAAAAGAGTTCCTTAATTAACGGAAGTTTATACACAAACCTCAGTACTAAAAAAGGAACGTTTAGGAGCAAAATAAAAACAATTTTAGTATCAGGGGCACCCAACGAGAATATTGTTGAAAACCACTTAAACATAGCATTGTTAACCGTATTTTAGTATTTAGACGGTAGATATAGGCATATTTTTATCCCCTAAAAATTTTTCATCTGTTCGGATTTCCTAGCTGAAAGTCTAGTGATCCGAAAATTATAGGGATCAAAACTTACTTTTTCGAAAATTTCAGCCAGAAAAAAGGCTACCGAAAATTCTAGGTGACCTTTTAAGGGTAAAAATCCGTTAAAAATGGGAAATTACAGTAGTTTTTAGATGTTCGAAAATCCTAGCTAGGAGAGGCAGGCAAGCAAGAAATTTTACAACAAATGTTCCGAAAATTCTAGATCTCAAATCGTCTTCCGAACAGATATTTTCCGAAAATTGTCGCTGGGTACCCCTGTAGTATCAGAATTACTACACTGAATACAAAATCACAACTAAGACATAACTTCAAGTAGTTAAAACCTGACGCGCTAACGGACTAAACAGGCTACAATAAATTATTTTAATGGTTGCAGTCGTTTCTTAATTGGAAAATTCACCTAGTTGGTAAAGAAATTAGGTAACACTATGATACAACTGCGTGCTATTTGATTACCCGATTGCGCGGTATCTTGATCAGTGTAGTGTATCTCTTTTCATCTTTCAAGTACAATAGTTAAGAAAAGCAGGTCGTGAATCCTTAACGTGCGCACATGGAAATAAACAGTACATTAATCTTGCTCTACTAAGAGCCATAAAATACTAAGATTTTAGAGAACTCTGTAATCGCAATGGTTTGCAATCAGTTAAAATAACACAACATTGGGAGTTTTCTGTTTTGAACTTCCATCTTAACTTGTATGTTGCATCACATAGAGCGGAAACAGGGCGGATTACTTGAAAAGCCGCAAAATGAAAGCCTTCTTACAAGCGAACATTGACATCCCGTATTAGAGGTTTCTGAAACCCTTGAAAGCTTGAAGTTGCTTATCATCTACTTTACAGGTCGACCCCTCCCTACGAGAACCTCTATCACGGGCAAGCCTCCTCCTCGAATAAACTGAAGAATAAATCAAAGAAATCGAAGTGATCTCGAGATATCTCGAACTATTTCGGCTCTCAGTTCGTCAAAAAGCTGAATAAAACTGAAAACCTAAAAAACTGGCGCAGTGTCCAGACTTGTCCCCAAAAAAGCAACTTAGGGACATTCCTGAGCGTCGCGAAAAATCGCGCTTCGCCGAAGGAATGAAGTTACAAAGCTTTACAAGTTCAGCTATCGACTGCTAAACAGCTCATGACAAGCATGTTAAGGTATACCCTTTCCCCGATCTTAGAGTGCTTTCCAAAAGTCGGAACTGGGCGGCCGGACCATGGCTGGAGTAGTCATTTTGACAATGAAATAGCTTTTTCCCAAGCGTTTTTGCTGAAACACCATCTCCTTTGTGCATTAGTATTTAGGTTTTGACTGATCTAGTTGGATAGTTGTGATTAAAAGTGAAATTCTTGTTACTACTGGAATGGTCTGGCCGGTCAGTTTTGACAAATGGAAAGCGCCCTTAGATCCCCCACAAAGAAATTAGCTTCCTTCGACCATTTGAAGTACGAAGCAGAAATAATTCATCATCCTCATAATTTTAAGGGTTCTTAAACTGTGGTCAAGTGTTTGATGAAGTCATGATTAAAGAAAAAGAAGAAAATGAAATAGGCCAATGGTGTTTAACTGTGGCAGGCAAAAAACCATGCTATATTCATTGACTTGGTGCATAGATTCAAATTCGGTCCAGGACTGAGGAAAATCTCATTTCATGAAGAAGTTATTAGAAGAATGAAATGGTCACGTGACCTATTTTAAAAAATTATTCTTTAACGGTGAATGGTATAGTCATCCATTCTGGACAGATTCGTAAGGGGAGAACCAGACAATTACGTTGGGGTTTTAACATATACCCGTTACATGTCATCTCGGCGGCCCATTTTCACTTCTCTCTTCTCGTAAGAAAACTGCTATAACAGTTCACGTGACGCATAAAATTCCCCTTTTAAACAGAACACTAACTTGACGATGTTAATTTTTTATGTTATTACCAAGATTCATCATGTTTACGTAAATACTCTTAAAGTTATGACTCTTTGCAGCTTTTATGCAAATTAGGATTTGTGTCATGCCTTAACATGCTTGAAAGGAAGAAGCCCAGACAAAGGGAACGGTCATTGTTTGTGTAGAGGTGAGGGAGGGAAAAATATGTTGGAAAGATCAAAATTTCTGTAAGGCCCCCCCCTGCAAACCATGTAAACAGCAAGTTACCTCCCTTCTTTATTCAATATTTACGTGATGACCCCCCCTCCCCCCCAACCTCATATCTCCTCTTATATGCTCTACAAAGTAAGTATTAAAATGCATGTAACAATACTCTGTTAAGAGTGAAGACTTACTGTATTCATTCGATTGACCGCCCTTGGCGCTTATTAAATTTTTGGGCCTTGAGAGTGGGCGCTTATTAAATATTCACCATTTTCAGCAAGAGTAGTATTTTCATTTTGCAACGAAACAACAAATGGTAATAACAAAACGGGAAGATATAACAAAGCAAGGTTTCTGTAAAATACTCTGATGAAAACTCCATCTTCGGGGAACTCTCTTATTAGTACTTATCAATATCAATTTCAATCTCATTGTCACTTAAGTCAATAAGGGAATTCCTCCTCGATGTCCGAAATCGTAACGTCGGCAGATAGGTTAGTCGCCCGAGAAGCAGATACAGCTTATTTGAATTTGAGTCGGAGGGAGAGGGGGGTGGGGTGTGGGGTGTGGGTGGGCGCTTCTTCGAGGCTGGACGCTAATTAACTTTTTCTGCCTTTAGGATGGACCCTTATTTGAGGTGGGCGCTAATTCGGTAGTTACTTTGCATAACAATGGCACTAACCTAATCTATTACAAAATCAGCATATAAATAAAGGAAAAGTGATAGATTTTTACAACTCCTGCCTTCATGGTGAGCACGAATGTAATAACCATGCAAAATCTAATTCCTTTGAAATGATTTTCCTGCAGTTGTAAAAGGACTACTTTCTTGTTGTTTCATCACGTTTTTCTTGGGATATTGAAGTGACACAAGCATTTCGTTAAAAGAAAATTTAGTCAAACCAAATATTAAAGCAGACAAGTCTGAATTCTTTATTAGCTAAAATTTGAAATAACAATGAAGTTTAGAGTGCAAACAGAATTTCTGTCAAATACAAATGACTAAGTTGTACAAAATAGTGATGCTTTAAATAAACAAAAAGCAATAGGATTAGCATAAAATTGTACAATTTAGCATTACTGTTTCACATATATTGTTTGTGCTCTACTATTTAACTGCTTTACCAATCTTGGCCGATGGACCGCTCTTGAAATATACTAGTCGCGATCAAACGGCTGACCCCCTTAAACTTCTTTACAAAAACGTTTAGCCCCCCCTTCTAGCCAATCTGCAATAGCCTTGACCCCCCCTTCCTTTTCTCCTCCCCCCCTCTACATGAATAATGACCAGTCCCTAATTGCAAGTTTTCACCTTGAACAAAAACCGATCTATTTTAAAAATTGCAAGACACCAAAACCTTTCATATTCAAAATTCACCTTTTATCTCTATTTAACTAACAACCTAATGAAATATATTTTCGCAAATAAATATAACTCAATTGCAATTAAAATGAGGAACACCAGGCACTACTATGACTAGATGTCATCTGGTAGTGAAATCACGAAAGATAGACTTAAGTTAAATAACCATTGTTCAAAAACTAAGTATTCTTTCAAGAGTCAACACTGAAGTAAAATGTGCATAATTAAATAGAGAATGAGCAACTAGTTTTTTTTGTTAAGAAACACTGTTGGCCTTAACTTTCTATTATTATTGCTTAGTGAACACAAAGCAAATGAAACAAAGGACAATAAAATGACACGAGCCTTTTTGCACAGCTTAAATCTCTTTATGCAAATTCAGCATGAATTACTAAAATCAAAGTCAAAGGGAATATTTGAAAGTTATATCTGAAAGTCGAGGCAAATAAAGAATTCATGGAAAATCTCTCCTTTCAACTCAACAGTCTTCTGAGTCTCATGTAAACCAGTTCTACGTTTACGACAATTTTTTCAAAATGCGCCTAGGAGAGCCTTGGGCGACGAGACAAAAACGGCCGCAAGGGAGACAATACCAGCTTATGAACTGTGTACATTTTTATGTATTATAGCCATTTGTTTGAGCCTGAAATACTCTTTTACCAGGGATACAAAAAACAAACAACATAGTTTTCTTTTTTTATCTGGGGAAATCTAGGATCTGGGGAGAGACTCTAGAATTTTTCCCGACTTTCACAAAATACAAAAACTAGGTTTCAAAAAAGATTGTTAATATCCAAAAAAGCTTTCATTTTTTTCATTTTGTTTTTCCTTATTTTTTTGTCTAGCATAACCTAGGAGGGCCTGCAGGAATAATCTAAACATTGAAAACAACCACTACCAGAAGACAGAGAGAATAATGGGATCCCTTGAATCTACTTCATGGGTTACCAGAAGCTAAAACGATTCCCGAAAAATAGAAAATTGATTTGTATTGTTTGAGACACACGTCTCACTCATCCTTCTTGAATACTGAAATAACATCTTTCACTGCAAATATTAAAGAAATGTCGTTGTCACTTGGTCATGTATCAATTTCAATTATTTTTGATCCGTAGAGCATTCCTTTAGAAAGTTTTAATGTAGCACATTGAAATGAATAAGTTTCTTCCTCAGAGCTCTTGTTGATAGGTATGGAGGTCTTCTGGATCCACTTATTTAGTTTGGGATCATAGCTTTCAATTGCAACAATCTTGTCTGGCTCAAATGAAAAATTGGTTTTGATTGTACCCACTGCATAAAGTGTTTGGTTCAGACTCACCACACTATGCAAACAAAATCGGGAAACCTTGTCCCACTTTGTCAAACTTGCCATGGTTTGCCATTCATTGGTGGAAACCTCGTACACAGCACATTTGTTGTCTGTATCACAAACAAAAATCTTCCCTTGAATAACCACACCAGAGGGACTGTTCGTCCTAGTTTGCATAGATGCAATTTCCTCCCATTTCCCTTTTGCAGTGTCAAATCTGCCAGCTTTATCACTATATCCACCAAGAACATACAGGCAGTTGCCAAAGGCAACAACACATGATGCATCCCTGTAGTGGAAGTTCTGAGAAGATGACAGAGTCTCCCAGGTGCACAACTCTATATCATATCTTTGAATCACAGGGTTAGATCGGTAGTCAGGACGGTATATAGCATGGATTTGCCCATTTAGAACAGCCAACGAGAGTTTCTCAACAGGACGGGATAACTTTAATGTCGTCCAAGTGTTAAAAACAGGATCATATCTTTCTGTGTCATCATATTGTCTCCGAGGAAAGCTGTACAGCTGATCACGAAATTTTATCAACTGTGTAGTGTGGTTTCGATCTTCTGATACTCCGTCCGCTAATCGCTTCCATTCATCTTTCTCGGGAAGGTAACAGTAAGTTTTCTTTCCCCCACGTACTACAATGGCGTGTGTTTGAAGCCTTCTTCTCGCCAGTTGAATTTGAGTATCCTCACTTGTAGCACGAACTAACTTAATAGCATCCGTGACCCGCCTCAAAATAGAAAAATGTTCTGTTACCAGTTCATTTGTCACAATATCAGAGAACAGAAAGTCACGCGAAAGCAATACTAGTCGGACATGACGAAAAAGCTGCTCAAACTTGTCTTTTCGCTCACCTTTGTTTAGCTCGATCCAGTTAACTATTATTCTGAACACATCTTCTTCAGCTGCAACCAAAATATTTTCGCTTGAAATCCACTTCTCAACTTCTTCGGCTTCCAAGTTTAAAAATTCGTCTGCCTTTGCTACGGAAGTGAAGTTGTCTTGAATGAACTTTGTACTACGAAGAACAAGTTCTTCACACCGATATTTCTCGGCAAAGTGAAAAGTTGAAATGCAGTTACAGGTGGTCATTTGCTTCTGTAGAAATCGCCCGGAAATGATTTTCAAAGACTCAAGCAGTAAATAGTCGGCTGCGATTATTAGATCCCTGGCATTCTTTTCATTTATCTCGACACTTCCTGTATAGATGAACTCCAAAACATCTGAGAGGATCGATTTCGAAATCTCCTCGAACCGAATGACTCCTTCCTCTTTCTCTTTCATCTCGCTCTGAAGAAGCTTTGAAAAAAACGGACTCGCAGCCGATAGCACATTTCTATGGGCCTTAAATTCATTCCCTTCTTTCGCTACTAAGGTTATGTTGCAGAAATAGGACTGTTGTCGTTGCATGTTGAGTCGCTTCATCAGCTCAACGCAAAACGAAGATTGTTCAGCTTCACTGATGGGTTCTAAATCTACTAGAAGAGACCGCTCGACTGACGAACCAGATTGAGTTTCGACAAACTTGTGACAGACTTCCTGAGGCTCTTTCTCACCACTCAGTTCCTCCATACTAAGTTCAATAGAGACGGCGTCTCATAAATTCTGTAATTTCAACCCAAGTTGGCAGAGTACACTCCTCTCACAGCCTGCGTAACAACGAGGAACGGGATTTTCCAGCCTCGTTCCCAGTCGCCCTCGGCGATTTCGGATGTGACGTCACTTGTCAAGCTTGTCGGGAAAATTCGCCTAGGACGCCTGGCAAATAATGGCAAATCCAAAATGGCGGCGTCAAGCCAAGAATGCGACTTCAGCCAAGATTCTTGAAGAAATGAAAAAAAGCGTCGGAAATAGGTTGGTCAGGTTGGGATTCTTTAATCAACGTTTGCCATCAAATACATAGAGATGTTGGAGAAATTTCTTTCAAGGAATCGTTCCGCGTGTACACCTGTTATTATCGTAGGTCAGTAATTTCGAGGTTTGATTGTATCAAAAAATATGGATTTAATTCAGCCCAACAAATCGTCCCATCTCAGGAGTGTGTTCCATTGCCTGTCGGGAATGAGTAAAACCATCCAAGCCTCCTCTGGTCACTCGGATAGCGCGAACAGGCCTGGGTACGAGGCTGGGGATTTTCGGCTTTGGCCGCGCGAGAAATGAAACGACAGCCAAAAAACGAAAGAAGGGGGAGGGGAAGTAAGTCCCCCTCCCCGCTTCTTTACTCGCCCCATTTTTCGCGCGGTCTTTGACTCTCGTTCCTCGTTCTTTGCTCCGAAACCGCGCGGAAACGATTCCTATGCAGGCTATCAGAGGCTCATGTTGGGTGCTCCAATAAAACTAGCAATAATGGGCCATTTCCGAGATAGTTCCAAAACCTCTCACGTTCAAAACGAGGCTAAGTGCAAAACCCTTCTTGTGAAAATGAGTGTTACAGTCAACTCCCTCTAAGACGGACACCTTTGGGACCGGCAGTGAGTGTCCGTCTTAGAGAGATGTCTAGACTGTTCACAGTCCCTTATTTTTTCGCGAGATCGTTTAGATACACCGCTTCTTACCGTCACGGCTATCTTGATTTTCAAATGTATCGAGGGGGCGGGCGTCGGGGATTATAGCCCCCTAGGTAGTTTTGACACTCATGCAAGATGGGTAGCCCGTAACGCAAAGCTCTCGATCTCGATGATCTTACGGAAAAATAGAGGACTGTGAACAGTCTAAGAGATGTCCGTCTCATAGAGAGTCAAATAAAGGGAGTAAAGAAAGGCAGGGACCAACTCCAGGTGTCCGTTTTAGGGAGGTGTCCGTTAAGAGAGAGTCGACTGTATTTGCATGAGAATAAAAGATCATTTTCATATCAAAATAACTTCTTCTCACTCAGCCTCGCCTCGTAAGGGCAGTGGACATTTCCCCTCTCCTCAGCTCTTCTACAACGCTGAAGAGGCCATGGCCAGTGGTGCACGTAGCCGGTTAACTCCAGACAATGTTATGTTTGTTCGACTTACCTCTTAACCTGAGATCAGGCTCTATTTTCGTTTCGCTTTGTTAATAAGATTCCGGCGGGCATGCCGAAACGAGTAGCCGTTAGAGAGAATGTATGAGAACCGCTCAAATTGGGCCTGATCTCAGGTTACTTACCTCTCTATTCCGCAACTTTACTGATATTGGATCAGCAATGAAAAAACTAAAAAAGAAACGGAAAATCGTACCTGGGGGAAACCCGCCACTCCCAATTTTCATTTTCTATGATCATGTGACAACAACTGCGCCAGAAGCCCATTTTATACCGTACCATGGATGTCTTGAGACGCTGCTTCCAACAGTCCTGTTCCAAGAGCAATACAAAGGCCGTAAGTGACTGTGAAAAATTCCTGATAAGGGTGTCCCGCATTTGAGTAATAGAGTGACAATATTTTTGGAAAATTCCAAAAAATTCCGTGACGATTTTCGAGACGTTTGACTTGTAAACTCTCTAATCAGACCACGACGTTTTTCTAGCTCTTCCGAGACCTGCGGCTGAACTCCGGCTGGTAATAACTTGTAGGGGCTAATACTGCAGGTCAAAAATTGTTAAATCTAAGGCATAAACGTTGCCGTTTTGATTTGTTGAAAAAGATGCTATCGTTTTCAAAAGAGTTTCTTAACTGAAGTTTATAAAATTTTGTTATATACACATAGCTCAGCACTACAAAAGGAACGTTTGGGAGCAATATAAAAACAATTTTAGTGTCAGAATTGCAACAAAATACAAAATCTTAGGCTCGATTTCCTCCGTCTCCCGGGTCCGGTCTGAGTGCGGGCTCATTTTCCCGAACAGCGGGTGGTAATCGAGCCTAACAAAATCACAACGTAACTAGGACACAACTTCAAGTAGCTAAAATCCTGTCGTGCTAACGGGCAAAACAGAGTACAGTAAATTATTTTTAATGGTTGCAGTCGTTGTTTGGAAAAATTCATATCATTATCAACCTGGTTGGTAAAGAAATTAGGTAAGTGACACCATGATACCACTGCGTGCTATTTGATTTCCTGTTGCGCAGTATCATGATCAGTGTAGTGTATCTCTTTTCATGTTTTAAGAAAAGCAGGTGCTGAATCCTCAACGTACGCATATGGAAATAAGCAGTACATTGCTCTTGCTCTACTTAGAGCCATAAAATACTAAGATTTTGGAGAACTTTGTACTTGTACTAGTTTGCAATCAGTTAAAATAACACTACCATTTGGAGTTTTCTGTTCTGAACTTTCATCTTAACGCGCATGTTGCATCACATAGAGCGTCACGAAACATGGTGGATTACTGGAACAGCCGCAAAATGAAAGCCTTCTTACAAGCAAACATCAACATCCCGTATGAGAGGTTTCTGAGATCCTTGAAAGTTGCTTATCATCTACTTTACAGGTTGACTCCTCCCTACGAGAACCTCTATCAAGATTCGGGTCCTACAGCGGACAGTTCTTATACTTCTCAGGCTTATAATCTCTACCTCTGTGAAAACTTCAGCCAGAAATGTCCTTTTTTGTTAGTCTGCGTGGCAGGCAAAGCACTCATTGTAATTAAAGAACTTGTCCTTGACAATTTATATAATCCATGTACTTGCTTGGAAGCGACATTTTCATTCTCTAAGACACAACATTTTTCACGACCAACAAAGTGTTCCTAATAAAGAATACTTACAGTTTGCTTATATTTCTATTTGCAAATCTTGCGTTAAAAGGATTGTTGTAATTAATTAAGGGTTTCTTTGTGCAATGAGTCATTTCGTATCTGGTGACTACCTCTTTTTTGAATGGTTATCGAAGAGTTATCAAAAGGAGAATGTTTCAAATCCTTTTAGTCAGCAATTCCACCGAATTATGCACGCTGAAAATATATGATCGTAATTATTCAATTTTATCAAGTACTCCTTTTGAGAGTTTCATTGCACAGCCTGTAAATGACGACCTTTCTTTTTCGGGGATTCTTTCCACTGGTATGGTGGTCTTCTGGGTCCACTTGTTCCCCACTGGATCATAGACTTCCACTGTGTATGCATTTGCGTATCTAGGACGTGAACCACCTAGCACATAGATTGTTCCATTCACACACAGCATGCTTCCGTGAGAACGGGGAACATTCAAGCTTCCAATAAACTGCCACTCATCGGTAGTGATATTGTACACCTCACAACTATTAATTTCCTTCCGGCTTCTGTCTTTCCCTCCTGCAACAAAAATTTTGCCTTGAAAAGCCACACCAAATGCCTCGCCTCTTTCCTGTTGCATGTCTGCAATTTTCTCCCACTGATGCCCAATAGTGTCGAATCTTTCAGCCACTGTAACATACTCTGGGTGTGAATAATTTCTCGTTGCTTCTCCTCCTAAAACATAAAGACAGTTACCAGCTGCAACAAAACAAGAGTCATACCGGCATCCCGATTCAGAAGAATGAAAAGACAGCCATGAGTACGATTCCACATCGAATTTTTTCACAGTGGATGTTTTACCGGTAGTTTCACTATCATCAATGTGTATGGCATAGAGTTGCCCTCGGCAATCCAGATATTCTGTACGGTGGGAAATACCCAGCTCCAAAGTCGCCCAAAGGTTAAAAACAGGGTCATATCTTTGAGTGCTGCAGCCATTAAAGGTATATAACTGATCATGAAAGTTTATCATCTTTGTGTATTGGCTTAGGTTTTGTTGTGGCTTTGTGAGATTGGACATAGTTTTCCAGGCGTCTTTCTCTGGAAGCAGTGGAAGGTAACAGAGAAGGTACTCTCCTCCACCGACTACAATGGCTTGTGTCTCAAGTCTTTTTCTTGGTGACTGATTAATGATATCCTCGCTAGCGGTAGGAACTACATCTATGGCTTCCAATACTTTTGTCAAACAATCAGGGTCTTTCCGAACCAGTTCGTGCGTAACGAGAGTTAGCAAAGAGTCACGCGATAGCAAAACTAGTCGAACTTGTCCAAAAAGCTTTTTGAACTTATCTTTTCGCTCGCTTTTGTCGTGCTCGATCCAATTCAGTATTATTTTGAAGACGTCTTCTTCAGCTGATAAACGAATCTCGTCATTTGAAATCCACGTCTCAAGCTCTTCTGCTTTCAGGCTTAAGAATTCCTCGGATTCTGCTACGGAGGCGAAGTTTTCGAGCATGAACTTTGTACTGTTGATAACTAATTCTTCACATCGATACTTCTCCGCGAAGTTAAGGGTTGAAATACAATTTGAGCAAGTCATTTGTTGTTGCTCAAGAAAACGCCCTGATTTGGTTTTTAAACCTTCAATGAGTAAATATTCCGCAACAATAATCAGATCAGTGGCGTTCGTTTCATTTATCTCGACACTTCCTGTGTAGATGAACTCCAAAATATCCGCGAGAATCAACTCTGAGATGTCCTCGAACCTAATAACACCTTCTTCTTTTTCTTTCATCTCGCTCTGAAGAAGTTTCTCGAAGAACGGACTCGCCGCCGAGAGCAGATTTCTGTGGGCCTTGAATTCTTTCCCTCCGTTCGCCACCAAGGTTATGTCGCACAAATAATTCTGACCTCGTTGCAAGTTGAGTCGCTTGAGTAATTCCACACAGAAAGAACTTTGTTCAACTTCACAAATCGGTTTTAAATCCTCCATTTTTCCCAGTGACTGATAGCAAACAAGCCCGGACTAGTATACAGCTGTCGTCAGGAATAGGAGTGAATAGAACGTGATGGCAACTTCCACTGAACTTCTAAGAATAGTGTCTGGTCTCGATTCAGTTGATTTCTCATCTATTAAAAGCTTCATTTCACAGCCATTTCGGTATTCACCGGTATTTTTTTCCTTTTTGGTTTGTCTTCCGAATATAATATGTATGAGGGTATTGTTTCGAAAAAAAATCTGGAGACTCGTGGTTTCAATAGGCCATTTTGCAGTTGTGGGCTTATTGTCCTAGCCCTTGTCATGAGTGAACGCGAGGTTGAGGTTAACCTTGTTTTGATACAAACCTCCTGCTTTTTCTAATGCAAATTTGGCTTAAAAATACTAGTTAGCATGAGAGCAACATAATAAAGAAGAGAGGTTAAATGAAAACAAGATCAACTCCAGCCTCGTTTCCACCTGTAGCTGTAACTGTAAAATGGGTTATTGTCTTGCCGGCGTGTAACAAAACAAAATGGAATAATTTGTTAGATTTAAGATTAAAGAATAGTTCTCTTAGTCTTTGGATATTGGCTTCGGGCCCGACAGTTACCCGGATTTTCGAGAAGGCCCCGACACCGAGTCGGCGTTTTATTGACTCCCGCCAGTAATATAATTTAATTGAAATTCATCATGACATTAATTAACATCATCTTTCTTCTGGACTCTTATATGAAAGAGACGTGAATGCTTGTCGTCTGCCTTAGTAGGGGTGTAAATCGAAAATTTTCGTCTTACTTAGGAGAGATTTAGGAGGGTGGTTAGGACAGAAATGCCATATTTTCACCCATACAGGTGTCGCTTGGGTTTTTCCCTCTATTTTCCTCATCCTTGATACCGTATATCACAGGTCAAAGGCATTGTGAGGATTGAAGAAAACCTCTTTGATCTACAGGCAACTCTGCATGCCTTCTTTACTCCTTTTTGTTGACTCTCTGAGGGGCTGTTAATATGATACCGGACTGACTTTCATTCCGGAATGAGTTTCATTCCAGAGTCTGCCTCCTCCTCAGGTGCTTCGTTTTTCTCACAGAGGCGAGCGCGAAACGCGAGTGACACGCAGTGACTGTTACCGAAGCGCAAGGGACTATGGGAAAGAGAAAAATGACAGGCGAAGAGAGCGTCCACTGTATTCACATGATAGAATCGAACGACCCAGCCTAAGGCGCGTGGTTTTCGCGCCAGATCAGACACGCACGCGCCACTCACTTCAGACGATAAACATGATAGCTTGCGATTTTCAAGGCGGAACAAAGTTCGTTTCCAGTGAACATGATACTAGAATGAAATTCCGTCGCAAAAAGAGGGCCGCGATCCTTTTGGACAGCGTCCCCCATGAAGACCGACACAGTGTAGCCTGCGAGAGCATCCGGTTTTTTTCGGCTCTAGTTTCTAATCTCCCCCTTTTCGGAGGAAGAGAAGCGACGACAGGAAATGCACTTAAAACTGTAAGTGAAGTCATAAAAGTGACGTGATCGTAGTGACCTCTTTTTACGAACACCTCTCTCATACGGACACTTCTCGGCACTTCGCTCTGTCCCTTCGGTGTTCGTAAGGGACAATTTAACAATTCACGGAATTACGGTATAAGTAAGGGAAAATTTAACTCTTACAAATAAGTCAGGGGGAGGTGACATATTCCTGCATATTCACCGAAGTTAAACATGTTCCATTGGCAGAATATTGTTTCAAGAAATTAAACGACAAACAGATATAAGGTTTCCTGTAAGATCAATCCATTCTCCACTTTACCTTCACGATAAATTCATTTAATAATGTATCGGTCAAATCGAAACTTCAACATGTCCCCCCCGGGCAACCCCCCAGGCATTTGACTTTTTTGAAAATTATTGTTCAAATTCCCCCCCACCCGGGCCAAAATGCCGTTCAAATGCCCCACACTGGGTCCATTCAGGTGATCAAATGCCCCCACCCCGGGGACATTTCACAGGTACAAAAATGACAGAAGGATGGCGGAAACGCCTTCAGTTGTCGAACAAAATCTTTATCAATATAACAAAAACTGAGAAACACTGTTAGCGTATTTACTACGAACAAAAGTCTCGTGCAAAGCGGCGGAAATCGCTGCTACAAGGTCTCTGAATGCTCAGCTTTTCTTTGTCATGCAACATACAAAGCGTCAGCGAATGAAAGCGTTCTATAAAAAAGATCCCACCTATTGAGATTACTACATCATGACCATTTCACTGACATACATCATCGCTCATCTTATTATATTAACATACCTGCAGTAGGTCAAAGAAGTTGACCATTTTATTTTATTCTATTTTATGTTGTTGTATTGAATCGCCGGTATAGGTATTGTATTTCATTGTAAACACAACAATAAAATACATTCATACCTTCAAAGCCTGAATCCAATATTAAAAATTTTAAAATCTAAATACTTCAAATACGGCACAAAGTTTGTTTAAGCCCTTTCCTCGTAACCAATTGGCCACAGAGGCACAATCGTTTCCACGAAAATCCTCTCACACCACGTCCCCCATACCTTGCCACGCCAAAGATTTTACATGAAATCGAGGGTGCAGTTCAAATTCCCCACCCCCTGGAAGACTCTGATAATCAAATTCCCTCCTCCCCGGGACGGCAAAGGTGTCAAATGCCCGGGGTATGCCCGGGGGGGGGGAGCATGTTGAAGCTTCGATTTGACCGATACATAAATAAGTAGAGAGGCCGAGGATGGCTTTGATGGGACATTTATTTTGTATACCGGACTGGTAGATGACATAAAACAAAAGAACAAAACCCACGAAACAATACCAAGCAGATTTTCCCTGAACAAGAAACAAAGAAGTCTGTTTTTTTAACGTCTTCTGTGTCCAGTACACGAAGTCTTGACTGGAATTTGGAATCCAAAAATATCTTGACAAATTGTCAATTCATTTTTGGTCAGGGAAAAGTGTACATTCGACTCTCAGTCTGGAAATTTAAAGAACTATGCCTCTGGCAACCATGTCTCAACAAGCTCATGCATGTTGAGAATTGAAAAACTGATCACCTTCAACATGACTTGTAGGTGGACATTTCATACAAATTCACTCTTGCATGGGTATTTGTTTCTCATGCATGTACACAAAATAACTATGAACACATACATGATTTGGTATTTTTTACACAAATAATTCAGTGCTCATGAGGGTATTGCATATTCAATGATCACGAGTCATGATCACTGTTATGATTCTCCTCAACTGCATCCCTAATGACATTGCTACATGCAAATTATTTCTATTTTAGTGTAAGTGATTATGTTTGCACGTTACTGTTACAAACAATTCATTGTCAAGTGTGATTATGTACTACAACAAGAGTAAACACTCTCATTGATGTAGTTCACTTAACAATACATATTTCAAAATACCAGCATTTAATTGTTACTTTCACTGCAGCATTCTCCCCTACCATTTCATCCACTCAGTACTAATGACACACTTCACACTTATTATTAAAGATGGCATGGGTTAGCTGCATGTTCGCCTGCAGTTATTCACTATCACATTCATTTCCTCTTGACTATAATTACACATGTAGGAGAGTCAAATGGGGTGAACACGCAACCTATGAAACATTGGCTACCTTTCCTTTACAACACCAACCCCATTAAAATCCCAGAAAATCCTTTTCAAGGACAGAGCACTGGGGCCAAATTTACTCCGAACAAAAGGAGATTAACTACATCACACCTTCCACCTTCCAGTATTAGAGCCACTGTTGAAACCCGCCCTCCCAGGCTACAAAATTTACTCCAATTTCCCCTCCTTCCATCCCTAACATTTTATGCCCCCCAACCCCCCTTCAAGCTAGGTGAGGTTTTGCGATACATGTATTTCTAGTTTATGCATATGATTATCACAAACGTGCTTGCTCACTGGGGAAGATTCTTTTGCAGTTTCCTATTTATTTTTTTGTTACTTTTAACTTATAGAATTTTAACTGTAAAAGAGATGCCTATGTGCGTCGTTTTTACGAGTACAGCAGGAGCACAAGAAAAAACAAAACAAAACAAAAAACAAGCGAAGTCTTCCTCATATTTCACTAGAATGGCTAAACAACCCGCTTTTTGGCAAAGAAATCGCCATAGGGCTTGGGCTTGCCCTCTTCTGCAATGCTCTTAGCTAACCAAGAAATGTTGAATGTTTATCTGTCCGTTCATAAGAATCTTGGAACGGCTGCACGTGCACATTGTGCACATTGTGCATATGGCTTCCATGTCCTATTGGTCAAGTGTGTTCACAAGTGTGGTGTAGACCATACTTGGCGATGAACTTCGGCTTCTTTGAACTACGAACGTTTCCATGGTCATCAAGTAAAGTTGAAGTAGGTAAATTCTACCCATTCATACTCAAAGTACGTTCTAAGTACACTTAGGGCCTGTTACATGGAGGTGGGGGACCCCAGGTAAGGTAACCCGCTTAGGTGGGGTAACCCGCCTGTCTATATAATCTCTCATTTTAATTTGATCACGTTTACATGATAGGTGGGGTGATCCACCACATGTTACCTTTCCTACATGGGGTCCCCCCCCCCCACCTCCGTGTGAACAGGCCTTAGATTATACTTAAGAGCTCTAGTGTTGAGCCAACAAATAAGCTATTTTAAATGGTGGCAGTTGTTATTTGGAGAAAAATTCATATCATTGTTAACATGGCTGGTGAAGAAATGAGGTCACACTATGGTAAAACTCTAGTTGGTTACCCAATGCGGAGTATTATGATCAGTATAGTTTCGCGTGCAAGCCTTTTCAAGTCGTCAGTACTGGAGCTGATATAAATAGGCACTGACAGTCCTTAACTTACAAAAGAAATATTGTTCAAGACTTCAGAGGTAGTTCATTACTTTATTGCTACAATCTGTTTCATTTAGTCAAAAATGACAACACTCATCAGGCAATTACAGCGAATGCCCAGTTAAATTCAAATGCTGGCGCTTTATACAAGGTAAGGCTGTTACTAGGTAGTAGTTGTGAACCGAGATTCTTAAAGTTTCGGACTACATATTTGTTTGTGTGGGGATATGAACTTGCTAATTCATTGTGCTTATTTAGGGTGCATAGATATTTTCTGTAGATAATTACAAACTGTTCATAGAGACATAGGCTACATTTCTTGTTAATGTTACTGTACTGCTGACATTTTTCATTTTACTTAACAAGGTTTGTAGGCGACCTAATATGACCATATGTATTTAGATAGTCTGGTTTCATTTCGTCTGCTGTTGAGTCAGAAGAATGATCCATGGTTTCTGTAACGTTCTTTTAAGTTGGAGGCAAGCTAAGGCAAGTCTCACATAAGATTCCTTACATGTGCCAGATTCTACTATGGCTTGGCACAGGGTGTTTGTTTGCAGACATTTCCCTTCAAGGGGGCATACAGTTTGTATGGTTGTTTGTCAGTTATAGTGTACATTTCTTGGATTTTTTATTAAAGAGGACTTTGTTTCAGCTCCTGTGTGTCAGTAGTTTCACCAAATAAAAAATTGTTAACACTACCAAGAACTTGATCTCTTTACTCTATCAAGCACTCCTCTGGAGAGTTTCAGTGCACAGCCTGAAAATGACGACCTTTCTTTTTCAGGGATTCTTTCAACAGGTATGGTGGTCTTCTGGGTCCACTTGTTCCCCACTGGATCATAGACTTCTACTGTGTATACATACTCGTATCTAGGCAATGAACCACCGAGCACATAAATTGTTCCATTCACACACAGCATTCTTCCGTGTAAACGGGGAACATTCAAGCTTCCAACAAACTGCCACTCATCGGTAGTGATATTGTACACCTCACAACTATTAAGTTCCTTCCGGCTTCTGTCTTTTCCTCCTGCGACGAAAATTTTGCCTTGAAAAGCCACGCCAAATGCATAGGCCCTTCCCTGCTGCATGTCTGCAATTTTCTCCCACTGATGTCCAATAATGTCGAATCTTTCAGACACTGTAACACACTCTTGGTTTGAATAACTTCTCGTTGTACCTCCACCTAAAACATAAAGACAGTTCCCAGCTGCAACAATACAAGAGTCATACCTGCAGCCCAAACTGGAGGAGTGAACAGCCTGCCATGAGTTCGATTCCACATCGAATTTTTTCACAGTGGATGTTCTACCAGTAGTTTCATTATCATCAATGTTTATAGCATAGAGCTGCCCTCGACAAACACCCACATATTCTGTACGGTAGGGAATATCCAGCCTCAAAGTCGCCCAAATGTCAAAAACAGGGTCATATCTTTGAGCGTGGTTGCCATTAATGGTATACAACTGATCATGAAAGTTTATCATCTTTGTGCCGTGGCTTAGGTTCTGCTGCTCCTTTGTGAGATAGGACATAGTTTTCCAGGCGTCTTTCTCTGGAAGCATTGGAAGGTAACAGAGAAGGTACTCCCCTCCGCCGACTACAATGGCTTGTGTCTCAAGTCTTTTCCTTGGTGATTGATCATTGATATCCTCGCTTGCGGTACGAACTACAACTATGGCGTCCAATACTTTCGTCAAACATTCAGAGTCTTGTCGAACCAGTTCGTGCGTAACGACAGTTAGCAAAGAGTCACGCGATAGTAAAACCAGTCGAACTTGTCCAAAAAGCTTTTTGAACTTATCTTTTCGCTCGCTTTTGTCGTGCTCGATCCAATTCAGTATTATTTTGAGGACGTCTTCTTCAGTTGCTAAACGAATCTCGTCGTTTGAAATCCACTTCTCAACCTCTTCCGCTTTTTGGTCTAAGAATTCCTCTGATTCTGCTACGGAGGCGAAGTTGTCGAGTATGAACTTTGTACTATTAGCAACTAATTCTTCACATCGATACTTCTCAGCGAAGCGAAAAGTTGAAATACAATTTGAGCAAGTAATTTGTTGCTGAAGAAAGCGCCCTGATTTGGTTTTCAACCCTTCAATGAGTAAATATTCCGCCGCAATAATCAGATTCTTGGCGTTCGTTTCATTTACCTCGACACTTCCTGTGTAGATAAACTCCAAAACATCTGCAAGGATCAACCCTGAGATGTCCTCGAACCTAATGACTCCTTCGTCCTTCTCTCTCATCTCGCTCTGAAGAAGTTTCACGAAGAACGGACTCGCCGCCGACAGCACATTCTTATGGGCCCTGAACTCGTTTCCTTCTTTCGCCACCAAGGTTATGTCGCACAAATAATTCTGGTTTCGTTGCAAGTTGAGTCGCTTAAGTAATTCCACACAGAAAGAATTTTGTTCAACTTCGCAAATTGGTTTTAAATCCTCCATTTTTGACTGATGGAAGACAAGCCCGCCAAGATTCGTGCAGAGCAGTTGTCTGTGCTTTTGGAATGAACAAGATGTAGTGAGGGAAGATTACGCGCACAGGGAGTGTCATATCAACTCCCACAAAAGTATCAATTTCACAGGGATACCCATCGTAACATTGTGTCTCCCGATAACCTGACCGAAATGTTTCATTACAAAGCTGTTTCGGGGTCACGGTATTTGGGTTCTTTCGTTTTCCGATTATATGTTTTGAAAAAGAGTCTAGGCAGATCGAAGTTTCGACAGTTTTGCAGACAATACGGTAAAACTAACCGTTAACAAAACAAAATGCACTGGTTTGTTAGACTCGCTCTTTTAGACTTCGATATGATTTTAATAATTGGCATTCGCCCCGACAAGTTACCCGGACTTTCGAGAGGTCCCCGACACCGAGCTAGGGGTGTTTGTAAAACGCATACCGGATACCTGCGGATGGCGAATGCAGACAGAAAAAAAGTGAATTAAAAGCAACAACAACAACAACAAAAACATCTCTAATTAGATTCAACATTAGTGTTCCTGAAGTAGGTTTTTAAGGTTCTGTTATATTTAAATCCTGATTTTGGTTTTGAAGTAACAGACGCCAAAAAAATGGGAGCTAAAAGTTACATTCGACCAGTTAAACACATAATTAGATGCAATTCCTGGAAAAACAGGGGGGCTGTTTTTTTTTTAAATTCCTTCCGATACTTCATAGGGTACTTTCCCGTTCGCCTTCGGTTTTACATTCATACTATGTTGTTATGGTCAGGATTGAACGCAGGTATTGTTCTTAAAAGTACGTAATATTACACTGAGTTGTTTGCCATTTTCGTATTACTTCATTTTTGACCGAATTAAAGGGTAACTATTTTGAAATTAACCACTATGGACATCTGAGAACGTAAGGATAACTTAAGCTCCAAGATCGCAAACCAATCCAGTTTGTTTTGTGCTTTGATAGTTTATTGGCCATGCTCTGAAAAATATTTATGACTGCAAACATACAATACAGTGCTTTTACAGCCGGGTATTTAAAGGGAAATTCGATAAAAAGCCGGCCTCTGGATATATCCGTATCATTACTATGATTATGATTTCTTGGCACATGACCTGGCTTTGGTTCTTCTTGTTATTTTGTAGTTTGGGCGGTCACTCGAGGTGACCAAAAACCTAAAGTGAACGACTGCATTATTGGAGACGACTGTATTGCTGGAACGGTGTTGTCTTACATTGGCACGAACCCAATATTGTAACCGGCTATCGCAGTGAAAATAAAGGTCTGAAAGGTCTGTGTACAGAGTGGACAATTCGTCATTACCCCCCTGAGCTATCTTTTTACTGATGACATAGTTTCCCTAACAAACAACACTGTAGAAAATGGGTCTCGTCATCAGTACCAATGAAACGAAAGACCTGTGAGCCAGTGAGCGTCTGACAGTCCTTTTAGATCCCACGAACGTGGAAGGAGTGGACGACTTTACATGTCTAGCTATGTAAACCGCAACGGAGACGTAACCCTAACCACAAACTGAACTATCGAATTGACAGAAGTCAAGGAACTTAGCAAAATAAAAATTCCTAATCTGGCTATTAAGTACCGACAGATTTATCGTGATCATACGTACATATGATCATAGGGTAAGGACAGCCACAAGGCAACAAAGACTAAACCGAATAACGAACTGGTTGCCTCCTACTACTTTGTTGTACACAAAATAGTTTGCACCGAGCACCTGTGAACAAGCTAAAGCACCATATGGACCCAAGTCTGTCTATTCCAGAAGTGTCTGGATATCTGGTTATTTATCTCCGAAATGTTTGCTGGTTAGCCTGTGGTCAGAGGTGTCTGTATTCGCAGATTCATTCAGGAATACATTAATTTGCGCTTTTCTGAAAGTAAGGGATTTTCGCTCGTTTACTTACAGGCCTTTCAAGAGTGCAGAAACATCATTGTGGTTAGTGCGACCACACACTTAACAACTTTTTAAAGAAAGCTTTGAAAACGAGACCTGAATATTCCCCTTTAAGAGTGTCTTGTTAAGGTAGCACCATAGCATTGGCCGGGGATATACGGTCCCGATCGTTTAACCAAAGAGGTTTTTTTTTGGGGGAAGGGGCAGTGGAAGTCACTTTTTTTGGCTGTGGTGAAGATGTCCTTTATGCTGACGTGGGTTATATAATGTCTCAGATACTCGGCTGAATAATGCGGTTAAAATAGGCCTCTAATCCTTGAAATTGTAGTTGTTTTATTTTGGCAGTCAGTGGAGGACACTTGAAAAACAAACAAATAAGACCCAAACAAGCAAATAAACAAAATACAACAAATGAACTCAGCTTCTCCCTTGCCTAGCTCGGCAAGCTCGAATCAGCTTTTTTGATTACTTATTACTCGGGTGATCTAGCAGCCTCTTGCCGGCACGATGTATAACTGTGAATGCTCAGCGTTGCTGGTCTTGCGCAGGAGAGTGGAATTTTGGCAGCCCCAAAGGGATTTTTCAGTGGTACTACTGGTGACATTTTGTCATTGGCCTAGTGTGTCAGAAGTGTGTTCTATCAAACAAAATGAATTACCAAGGCTTCAGTTCGGTATTTCAAAAAACGAGGTTGTTGATATATTCATTTTAGAAGCACAATGCCTTTCAGGTGTCTTACAAAGTTTCTTTTTTCTCAGTCCGTGGACTTGTAATGATCATCATCAATGGTTGAATAAATATGTCCTTCATTGCTAAGCCACTCTAATGTACTTCTGAAAAAAAATAATTAAGATAATGTTTTCAACAAAGACAAAAACAATTACAAATACAAAACAAACAAACAAAAGAAAAACAATAAGAACAGAACAACTACATGCTGATATTAAAGTGCAAAATATTTTAACAGATTCTTTACAATCCATTTTTAAATTACACCCTTACAGGGGTAGTCTCCCTCCCAGCCGTTTTTTGGAAACACGAAACGCTCCCCCAAAAAACGGCTGCGAGGGAGACTATTACAGGGGCTACCACTAAAATTTCAAGAGTGCTGCTATGATCAGTGGCGGATCCAGGCGAGGGGTCCTCCCTTAATTTCACACCAAACTGAGGCCCAAAGGGCTGAAAAAGTTTTTAGGACACCCCTCCCCCCCTCTAAGCTCAGGGTCTGGATGACGAGGCCCCTCCCTTATGTGAAGGTGTGGATCCGCCACTGATGATGCAACCAGTAGGGAAGCTGAATTGTTAGCAAGTACTTTTGCTGTATTTTCCCTTCGTTTTCTTTGTACAAAGTAGTTGGGGTCATGCTTATGGTGTTCAAGGGGAAATCCCTGTACCCTGGTCTCGCGCTCAGGTGTTCATTACAAGGAGCCAGTAAGGAAAAAATGAATTATGAAAAATCATTGTTGTTGGCATATAAAACAAAAGAACTGCACCCATCAGGGTGCAAAGAAAGTCAGTCTTATAGCTTGCCACTCAGGCAAGCTGTAGCTAGTATGTACTAGCCCAAGATTTATTTATGACTGGCCCAAACAAATTTTCTGATTACAGTGTATCAGGATTGATTACAGTTCTTCTGTAACTTGAATTCCCCAAAACACTTCATTTGCTCAATGGGTAAGTTAAGGACAACATTTACCGGCCCGCTAGCAAAATCCACTAGCCCCAGGCTATCAGACACCACTTTCTTTGCAAGCTGACCCATACTCATCAAAATTAACGGTGTTATTCAGTTGTTAGAATCCTGGAACATAAGGAATGTTTTGAACTGGAGTTTGGTCTTGATTTGTTGTGATGCCCACTCAAGAGAAGTTATTAATTTTTAGCCTCCACAGACCCTAAAATGGTGTCCAAACTCACTTATGAGAGGTAGTCCACTTATAAGAGTTCAAAAATACAATAATATTTTAGTGGTGATGTTTCCGGGTTTCCTAGAAGTCAACATTTTTGTGTGAGGAAAATTAATCGTGAAAAAAAGGTGACAAAAGTTACAAAAAGTCACATTTTTAGAAAGTCTGGCTCTGTTAATGGGAGGTGTTCCCTCAAGGGAAGAGTATTTTGCCGTCTTTTGACTACATATAGGTTGAGTTGTTCAAACTAATTCTTGGTTCACTATAAACAGAGAGTATGAGTCATCATGGTAACTAAAACTAGATTTGCACTATTCCCGATTTTTTGTTTCTTCCTATTAATTTGAGTAATTTATTACATCATAGACACAAAAAGGAAAAAACAATAATGCATAGTGCACGCAAAAAAAGTGATATACTTCATCAATCAAAGTACATCTGTAATAAGCAGAGTCCCATGCTTTAAGTATTATTGACTGACTGATTATATTCAACATAGACTAGGAATAAATCGGAAAATCCGAAGGAATTAGCTGCAGGTATCAGGGGTAGGAGAGCTTGGTTTTCCCAAATTTTAAGATAACTAAACAACTCGGCTCAGACTGTGAACACAGAAGTTGTGATAGGGCCAGCATACCTGATCTGTGTATCTGACACTCCTCTGAGCTTCTGTTTTATTTCAGTAAAACCCATGCCTTGTTCACTTTGGCATCTTTTAATCATTGTTTGAATCTGATACAAGAAGGTAGAATGATTCATCAGTTTTTGTAGTGTACAGTATTACTTATTAGTCATCATTAACTTGCTGCTGTCTGTTTACTTAAAATCTTCAGAAATTTAACCTGGAATTTCACATCAAGAAGAAATTAATGTACTCTGAGTACCTGAGAATCACTAAGTAAAAATGATTAGGTATACAAGAGGAAACGAATGCTCGAAAATGAATTGAAAACGTAACTTAACAAGTAGGACAAAGAATTTTATGTTCATGATGTAATAATAACGACCTTATTCCATTGTCTACCATATCAACAAAAAGGCATTTAATGATAAAAATAGGGTCTAATAAGGATTGATTTAGAGATACATTTTGAAAAAAAATTAATGATATAAAAGAAACTTGACATTTCGATGGCTTCATGTGCTCATCATTATCAAAAGATAAGAAATTACATGATTCGTGGTAATATTTATAGAAAAAGAAAGTGTGAAAAGTGCATGTAAATTTAAGCCTGAAATTGGAAAAAATACAATTACATAAAAAATTTGTCATGGATGGAGTCCGCTTGAGTGTTTAGCATAGGTCTTTTATCTCTTATAATCAACATCACATCGTATATCAAACACTATAGTTTCCCTGAGCATTTCTTGGGGATTATAAAAGTTTTTGCCAAGGTTTACCCACTTTTGACCCTGTTTCTCTATGATATGTTTGCCAACTACCGAATGTTTGTGTTCTCCATAATAATAATAATAATAATAATAATAATAATAATTTTTTTAAAAAATTATTTTTCAATAATAAATCCAAATCTTTTATTGATAACAAAGCTAACTATAAAATCCTATTTACAATTAATTTCACTTAAAAAACTATTCCGTCTAAGCACTATTTACATTATTCCTTTTGATTAAAAGAAGACACTTAATTTCGATTGAAAAATAACAATAATTATTATTATCATTAATTTTAATACAAAACTTTATTCGTAGATTTAAAAAAAAAACTATTTGCAGATTCAAGAATATGAAATATTAAAATATATACCCTATGTACATTCTTCTTGTGTACAAAAGAGAATTGTCGTAAAATGACTATCTAAAGACTACTAATAACAATTATAAAAAGCATCAAAAAGTTAATAAAAAAAAAAAAAACTATTTAAAAATAATAATTCAAACTGATAAAAAGTTACTACTTAAATTCTGGCTTGCACACTTTCTGATGTAATGTCAATGTCAGATATATTGGCTGCTCTTCTCTTGCTC